ATGGCGCCCCCCGGGGGCCTGTCCTGCACATCGTGGTGGTTGGCTTTCATCACAAGAAGGGCTGCCAGGTGAGGAAGGGACCCGATCTTGCCCCCGGCCGTTCGGGCGTCCCCTCGCCGGCGGCGCCCACCCTCCTCCATCCCCGCCGCAGAGCCCTCGGCCAGTCGCCTCAGCTCGACTCCTCTCTCCAGCTCCTCGCGCTCGCCCCACCTGCAGCCCATGCCCGCAATTCCCTCTTTCTCCTGCCCCTGAAAATTGCTTTCCAAGCAGCGGAGGAGCTGCGCGTTGGTGTGTTGGGGTTGGTCGGTGTTTAGGTTCCTTGGTGGAGGGAGAGAGTGGGGAAGATCGGCCCCACTCGCGTCCCAGTCCATCTCTGTCTCCATTGACTTTGCATGTCCACGTATAACGGGAGCCTTTAGGAAAATTCAGCACTTGGACTGCGTTTTCGAGGTCATGAGTTCCGTGGGCTTCCACACCAACGCCTAAGGTTGGTCGAAGCACATGTGGCGCGGTGGGAAAATCCACTTCCTTTGTTTATCTTTGGAAGCCCGAGAATCCGTCGCGTTAGGGTGGTGTATTGACTCCGCCCCGCCTTTCCCATTGGGCTTCGTTTTGCTATTCGATCTCGTCCAGATCTTGTTTCTGATGAGAGGTTAACCTCTCCAGCTCAGTTGCAGTAAGAGAAGGTGTGTTTACCGTGCAAGGAAATGTCATTTTTTTTTTTTACAAAGTCGTTTGTAAGCTGCTTCATAGAAATGGTAAAGGGAACAATGGTACATTTGCAGTCTGTGTATCGAAGGCCAGGGAACAAAACAGAAACAGGATTATTTAAGGGGAGTAAACACTAGAAGGCAATGATGTCATAATGTGCTAGTGAACAGGAAACTGAATTGCTTAAAATATTAAAAATACTGGATTCTACCACTAGGTAGCATTTTGCTTCTGATATTTCACAGAAAATGTAACATTTTAGAAGACTTTTTTTGGAAAAATTTAAGTTCGTTGGAGGATAATAACAAAAAAGTGATGAAGTGAAAAGATGGTTGTGTTTGCATGTGTTTTAAAGACTGCTTAACTTTAAAATATATCAAAGTCCTTGTCCCTCAGGTAAAAATGGCATAGGAAGATCCCAAGGAGGAAGTGGCATTATTCAGTGTGGTATTAAAAAAAATTCCAAGCAGCTGTAGAATATGTTTTTTAAATGTGGCCCTATATTTAGAGCTAAGAGAATAGATAGTTGCATTTTGTATAATGGCATGCAAACACGGCATTCATCATCATTAGATTTTTAATTCTTTAAAACTTCACGTCTTTGCTCTTTTTTTTTTTAACATCTTTGATCTTAATTGTCACTTTATAACTTCCTTTGGTTGTGGGTGAGGTAACTGACGCTTGGAGGAAGTAAAATGACCTTGCCGAGGTCACACTGCAAAACAGCCCGGGAGTAAGAATTGCTCTGGCACCATGTGTTGGTTCTGCTGGGCCATGTGGCATTTAGGAGTCTTTTAGGGTAAAGTAAAAAGTGGGGGCTACTTACAAACCAAACTGAGTGGGACTTTTTAAGACAAAAAAGAAGGAAATATTGGTAGGAGATAGAATAAAATCTTTTAATTTTTGCTGTCGTCTAAAGTCAAGATTAATTATCCTGTTTTGTATCTGTTTTATTGGCTAAAGTAATATAATTTATATTTCCAGAAAGGAAAGTTTTTAGAAAACAAAACGTAATGTTGCTTAGACATTAAAGAAAACTGAACAACAGATCGTATGATGAAAGAGGCACTTTAGGCAGAAGTACCACCCTGGCGTTTCTCCAGATGCGTCTGGTTTTTGGTTTCAGCACTGAGGTAAAGATGACTGGGTTTGAGGTAAAGGTTTATTATGAAATAAACACTATGCTGGGCGTCAGAAGACCTGGCTGATGTCCTGGCCTCACAGCTCCCAGACTTCCTGCAAGTCAAGATCGTTTAGTTTTCTGTACTTCATTTTCCTCTACCAGAATTCGTCATGACAGTTTTAGACCTGGCAAGGATCCTTCGAGATCGTCTACTCTAGCTCTTTTAAATTTACAGACAAGAAAACTGAAACCCAGAAATGTTAAGTGACTTAAGCATCCTTACACAGCTAATTGGCACTATCAGAAAAACCAGAGCTAAACAATAGTTTAAGTGATAAAAACACGTTTTATTAAGAAAAGCTGTTGAAATAGGGGAGAAGAGACCTCAGTACAGAACTGGGCTCAATTCCAGATACAACAAGAAAAATGGGAATATATAACCAAGAAGCAGACATGGATTGTGAAGCAGAATATACTGAACACAGTTTAAGTTAGTCTGGATGATTCTGCCTTCAGAACAAATATCACATGTTGTACTCTGGCTTCTCTGTTTATTTTAACATAGAGTGTTTTTCTTGTGCCTCTGACTCAGCTGGGCTTTTGATAGTCAGAGAGATGGAGGTGACAGAGCAGTTAGCAGTTACTTCTTAGTGTTGACCCGAAGCAAAAAAAAACTCTCTGCTTTTCATTTATTATTGCTTTTTTCTATGAACTGGGAGACCACATCTACTAAAGGTATATTAGAACTGTGAATGAAATAAAAGGATTCAGTCACTTAACTCTTACTGGTTTATTATAAAGGGTTCAACTCTGCAACAGCCATATGGAAGAGATGCATAGGACAAGGTATGGGGGAGTGGCATGGCCCTTCCATGCCCACACTGGGCACACCACCCTCCCAGCACCTCAGTGTCTTCATCAAACTGGAAGCTCCCTGAACCCCATCATTTAGGAGTTTTCATGGAGGTTTCATTGCATAGGTGTTATTGATTAAATCATTAGCCACTAGTGAACTCAATGGGCCTTCAGAGAGTTCAAAGTTTGGTCTTTCTGGGGACCAGGCCCTTATCCTGAAGCTAATCGAGCACCCCGCACCACCAGGAGTCACCTCATTAGCATAAACCCTGGTAGGGTTGAAAGGATCTTGTTATGAACAACAAAAGATGCTCCCATCTCTGAGAAATTCCAGAGGTTTTAGGAGCTCTGAGCCAGGACCAGGGGCAAAGATCACACGTTTTTATTATACCACACTTGAATAGTACTGAATAGTTTATAATGTAAAAAAAAGAAAAGAAAAATTAGAAAGAAATGTTCAACAATAGAGGATTGATTAATATGAGACAATGCTCTGTAGCCTTTACAATTGTTGTATATGTGTAGACATAGAAAAGAGTTTGTGTGAACCATTTTTAACTTGATTAGCAAGTTCAGCAGTTTCCAAATGCAGGGAGATTTGTCAGTAGTTAATACACCAGCAGAATAAAATTCTAGAAAGCTGTCAACACAATTCTAGAAAGCTGTCAACACAATACAGGCAGTGTACAATTTATGAAATAGTGTTGCAAAAGTTTTCTGTTTGAAATTCTGAATACATTTTCGCAAACTGTCCGTGTAAGAAACATCTTAACCTGTAGAGAATTTTCGTGAGTATTTGAGCCAAAACTGACAATTGCCAGGAAACAAGACCTCAGATGCTTTTGAGAATAACTTTGTTTTATGCATTTGTAATTAAGGAGGGAAGTAAGGAAGATTGCATGAGGGTGGGAGAAAGCAAGATGGGGATTGGATCACGTGATAGTTAAGATTATGTGCTCTCCTCAGGGTGGTTAGGCTTATTTCAAAGATGTATTAACTTAGATGCATAGAAACAAGGGACAGCGCTTGCTTAAGGCAAAGATCAACCCTTCACTAAAGAAGTTACAGGCCTGAGGCGTGACTGCCCACCAAGACCTGCCCAGTTAGGGATTTGTGACAGATCACCCTGTGAGGGTACTTTCCATAGAACCCCTTTTTCCTCCACAAAACAATATTATAAATACTCTAGGCCCAAATCATCCTAGAACTGCCTTAATTTTACCCAGAGAATTCTTGGCGTATATATAGTATCTGTATTTATGTTGAGAACAACTTTATGAGTTGACCACATTTTACGTTCCAACCAGAGTCACCCTAAACAGATCTTCCTTCAGCCAGCTAGAATTTCAAAGTTGCATGATAACCGAAGTTCCATGTTTTAATTGTGCCCCCCTCTCCAAAAGTCTTATTGAAATAACAGAAAATATTAGAAGCACAGATGAAATGGTAAAAACCTGGAGAATGCCAGGCACTGGAGGCACGTACTAACAACTGTTCTTTCCAGAAGACACACTGTTAGAGAGATTTCGTTGAACTTTCATTGATCAATTCTCAATCTTAAAAAAAGGTATCCGGAAATGTTGATTCCTGCCCCCTTGCCCCCTTACCAGCAAACTGTAAACTCAAAGCTACAGGTAGTGGGAGCACAGAAGCCAAGTGATGGGAGGCCAACCTAGACCCTGGCTCAACTTCTCAGGCTCCTCTGTCGGACCTCCTCTGCTCAGTTCAGTAGGGTGTTGATTTTCTTCGGGGCTCCATCGCATCACTTACCATCTATCTGATGACAAGTCCCAAATGTAAATTTCCAGTTCATTCACCAACATCACCACCCCCGACCCTCTTATGCACATTACAATTTAACAACCTGTAAATCAGAAAGAACAGGCTTATAAATCTTTCTTTTCCTCCTTTTTTCTTTTTCTCTATACCGTGGGTTTGTTGATAATGTCATGGTGTCAGTCAGCAAGTATGACTTATCCTCACTTCTGTCCAGAGTTGAAAAGCATTTCTGCCTTTCATGATAAAATGCTCCCTTTGATCAACAACCTTTGGCTAACATTCCTTACCATTTTAGGTTGAATTCTCTTACCCGCCCCTGATTCCAGGAGATGGACATGACAGTCACACTTTACCTGAAGAATGGAAGTATTTGCCCTTCCTTGCCTTACCAGATGGCGCACACAACTACCAGGAAGGTGTGTAAACACAGAGAGGAGCAATTCGTGTCAGTTTTCAATCTGCCAAGACATCTTAAATTCTAAGTACTTTGGTAAATGAAAGGACTTTGGGCTATTGTGACTTTATAAAATATTTAGATGCTTGTTTGGAGATGACGAGTCATGCACTAGAGGATCTCTAGTGCAGTGCCAGGCTTATATTGGTAATGGTTGGTGAACCTTAGCCACTGTCGCCAGGACCCTGGCCAAAGTAAGTGATTATTGGGAATAGGACGTTTGCCACTGGTAGCATTTCCTGCATTTATACTTCAGCTCCTCTCAGAGGCAAACTGAAGCACTTACCTGCACCAGCTGCAGATTGAGGCTGTGCCTGCACACTTACTAGATTGGGACACCAGCGCTCACCTGCAAAGAGCTGGTATTGCTTCTCCACTCCCAGAGCCGTTGTTATGACAGCGCTCTGCTTGTGTGCGTGTCAGCATCCTCAATGAAGGCAGTGCCGCGAAGTCAGTACTGCATCTCCTCCCGCCCTAGAAGCGGGGGCTTTAACTGGCTTAATGAAGGGCTATGTCTTAGCATGGTATTAGAGGCTCTACCAAAACACCGAGTTGAACTTGGTTTGATTATCTGTTTTCCTAATATTTAATAATTTTCGCTGAAATGAAGCAGATGTTACTATGCAGGTTAACAAAAGTTAAATATAATATTTTAACCTCGCAGATGTTTTTATTCTAACTTTTTATTATGAAAGCTCTTAAACCTATAAAAAAGTTGAAAGAATAGTATAGAGCAAATATTCCACAAATGTTTACATTTGTGTATGTGTATGGTTTTACCTGTACTTTTTGAAAGTCAGTTGTAAACATCATGACACTGTACCTCTTATTACTTCAACATGCATCTTCTAAGAATGATATCATTCCCAAGATAACTTCTAATATCATTATCACAGCGAAGAGATGTATCACTAATTCTATAATACCACCTAATATCCAGTCTGTGTTCAGATTTCCCCAGTTGTCCCAAGAATTTCTTGTACCTATTCAAGGTTCCTGTATTGCCTTTGGTTTTTATGATTCTCTACTTTCTTTTAATCTAGAGTAATCCTGTGTAAAGTATTTCCTAAGATAAGTGATTATGGTCTGAATTTGACCTGTTATAAATCAGCCTTTTGGGCTTTTCTGATGAGTAATCTGTAAAGTTGTGAGGGGAACTCTAAGAAACCAGTGATTGTGGTGCTAGAAATAAGTATGGTATGGGTTCCTTGTTACATATCATTTTTGTTTTAATACTTCATTATAATAACTTTAAATCTCATTATTTATTAATAAGAGTAATTTACTCTGGTATTTATGTTTTTCTCTGTATCTCTTAGATACTGTGTTTTTTCACTTGCCACCCAGAAATGGAAATGGAGCTACAGTCTATGGCATCTCTTGCTATCGACAGATTGAGGCCAAGGTACAGTAGTTACGATCATTAACAACAAAAAACACTCAAAAATCTTTTTTAAGTATTGACCACTTAAAGTGTAAAATTTGGGGAAATAGTCTTTTTTTAATGTGGTGCCTGTGATATTTAAAATTTTTGCAAACAGTTTGTAGCTGTCTCTCTAATAGTGCCAATTTACTCACATGGATGTTTTTTTAAGTTGATATTGATGATTATAATTACATTTATATCATATAATGTTTTATACATTGTTTTTAGATAGAGATACCTAAATTACACATTTGTCTTCAAAATACTGTATTTAAATTTCAAGATGTCTTTGAATTTTGTATTTCTGGTGTTTGGTACACAACTTAGAAAAAGGGAGTGGTAATGAGTGTTTTTTTATTTTAAGCAGCCTTTTAAAAGTAGTAGAAAGTACTTACAGTAGCTTCAGACTACTCGCAAGTTATCTTAATTATAACTAAGATTTTGATAATTCTTAACCTGCCAGCTTAATGCCTGAATTATTATAATAACACTAATGAATAAATTCATGTAAGCCAGGATGGGTAACCCCCCTTTCGTTGTGTGCTTCTGAGCAGCAGTTTTTTGTTGTTGTTGTTGTTGTTTTTTATGGTGAGGATACTCGGCATGGTAGCTTAGAGCTTTGCTTTCTTCATAAACTGTTACCTTACATGCTTTTATATGAGATGAATTGAGCCGTTGCCCTTTCTTGGAAATCTATTCCTTTTACCATCTTCTATGCCCTCCAGTGTATATAAACACTAGTAAAATTAATTCTCTAAAGCCGTTGCTGTTAACAGCAGTTCTCATGGTCTGCATAGCCTTTAAATGGCATTTCATACTACGCGTCTCCCTCACCCCTGGTCTGACCTGCTCCAGAGTATATTGGTGTTGCCCATTTCTCCAAGTCTTTCCTGCCTCATCTGATAACCAGACAGATAAGCCAGATATCAGAGGGATCCAGAGCCTAGGAGAAGGACTTCAGTTCCCTTTGAATAAGATGGAACCTGGTGAATGAATCCTGTCAATGCAGAGAGGTAGAAGACAGGCTGACTTGACTTAATGACTAGACATCAGTCAGTTGAAGGCACTGAGGCCTCTTGGTCCTCAGGACAGATCTGAGGAGATGTCAGATAATACACTAGAGCGGGGCAAGTCATTCTGACTTCCCTCACAGACTTCCCTTAAATGAAGACTTGTTTTTTATGAGCAGAGAACTGTCGAAATCTCACATGGGCATCTTATGAATCGTGGAGGCAGGATAGACTCCAGGTAGCACAGAACACCCGCCTGAACAATTGCTGACAGTTCTTCCATCTCTGGAGAAACAGGCTGTTTTTATCATCTCTTAAACTATCCACTTCTCCCCAGAAACTGTGGTCTCTGAAAGGGCTGCCCACCTTAAAACCAGAACTGAGGATGGTTCCTTTGCATTATTAGTGTGGCAGCTTACACTAAAGTATTCTCCATCAGACTGTAAGTCCCTCGATAGTAGAGATGGTCCCTCACTGTTACATTCCCATTCCCTCCCAGATTCCAGCACAAGGTGCCCTGGCCGACTGGCACTTATTCATTCAATAAATATTTTCTGAGATTGTCAATAAAAGCTCTTGAATTTAATTAACCAAGTGCAAGAAATTTTTTCTATCGAATTGCTATATTTATGTTGAAAAAATAATGATTTTTCAATATTCCAATGAAATATTTCTAATATTTCTAATAACTGTTTATAACAGGCATTGAAAGTACGGCAAGCAGACGTCACCAGAGAGACCGTTCAGAAAAGTGTTTGTGTCCTAAGCAAGCTGGTAAGAGACCACATGTACTCGTTAATGTGTTTACTATACATTCACGACAGATTTTTATTTGAGGATAAGGCATTAGGATAAGATTTATGAAAGCAATACTACATTAAAATTCAGCAGCGCTCATTATTTGTGTTCTTGCAGTTCCTCGTTGTCTGTGAGCAGCTTTGCTCTCATTTGTCCCAAAACTAGATAAGAGGAAGGAGATGTAATGGATAGGTTTTTTGGGGAAAAGGTTGACTCTTGACCAACATGAGGTAGTTGACATATTTCATTTATCCATTTTCTTTTGTTTCAAGAATTCGAATAAATATTTCACTAAAAATCAAAATATTATAATTATACTCAGATTATATTGATGATAAAGGAGTACATGGCTCTTAATACTGAAAAAATTTTGGCCTTAAACATACAGTACTGTTAAAATGTACAGCCGAAACTTATGGATTTCATTAACTAATGTCACCATAAAAAAAATAATGATTAATTTAAAAATTTTTAAAAACAAAATCTGAAAAAAAAAATTGTAGCCTTAACTTGGTCTTTAGAAACTTAAAATGATGAAAGGAAATGAGGTAATCAATTGTACTATAACTACTTTAAAATTGTTTCTTCTATGTACAATTTGGTCAGATGCATAATCATAAAATGTACAATTTAAACTTTAATTTTTGAAAAGAAATATATAACATTTCTTATTTTTCATAGCTCTCTTCGTTAAATTATTTGTGATGTTCCATTTTTATTACTAATTGGATTATAACACTTTTACCAGTAACACCAAATAATTCTACGTGTACTATATAGTACCCCAAAGTCTCTTTGTGGGGAAAAATCCTGATCTCCATCATATTAAGTACCATAGATCCATATGATTACTGAATACAAGTGTTTCTGCAGTTAACCTAAACCAAAATTGAGAATATTTCATTAGCCTACTCACCAAATGTGTGTAGGTTTTAATTATTTCTTCTGCAATTGTCAAATTTCTTATATCCAGAGACAATTTTAATGTAGTTTGCTTAATATAAGTTGTGCTTTGCAAAATAGGATTTATCTGGGATTTTATTGTGAAGCTTAAAAAAATACAAAACTCTAAATAATAATAATTTAATACCATGGGCCTTAATAATAAGATTTTGAGGATAAGGATATTTCTTCCAAGATAATAATTTTAAATATAGGGCAAGAGTAGTCTCCTAGAAAAGAAAGGGCTTATAAAGGACCCCAATATCAGAAAATTGATAAGATTGCTAATCTGATCCCTGTACAGTTTCTAAAAGGGTAACCTGAAACATATACATCAGTGAATTACTTTTTTTATACTGGGACAGATGACCAAAGAAGAGAAAGCATAGGAGTACTAGATATTAGAGCAAATGCAACAAGTCGAAAGGCTTACCGAGGAAGCATTCTTAAAAGAACAATTATAATAACAATAAATGCCACATATCAAGTACCTATATGTTAGGTATTCTAAACCAGATACTTTTTAAATAGAATTGTCATTTTACTCCTCATAACAGCAGTGAGATAACAAGTATTTACTGTTCTCACTTTATAAATATATTTCAGGGAAAAAATACATGTAACCACTAAGCGATAAAACTGGGGTAAAAATCCAGTTTTATCTGGATTTATCATGGGGGATGGGGAGAGCTAGCTCGCACAGAAAAGTTTGGTGGTTCATAGTGCATTGTAGTTTATATATTAAAATATGTTAATTTTTAAAATTTTAAAGTAGTTTCAAGTATAAAATATGTTGATTTTATCTTTAGATGATAATAATGATATATTAACAGAAATATTGAGGGGAAAATATTCCATAATTGGTTTTTTTATTTTTAATTTTTTTTTTTTTTTTAATGCCTATAGCACCCAGTCTTCCTAGGTGGTCTCCCATCCAAGTGCTAACCAGGCCCAACCTTGCTTAGCTTCCATGATCAGACGGGATCGGGCATGTTGAGGGTGGCATGCCCATAAACCTATTTTTAAATTTTATGTTAGTTTCAGGTATACAGTACATTGGTTAGACTTGTTTTAACTAATTAGAATATAAAGCATTGGTCTCTGCATTCTAAAAAGGACATAAAAATCAGAAAACATCGAGAAAAGAAGATTAAGAATAAAAGCATGAAAACGGTAGAAGAAGGCCTTAAATAGGAAAAATAAGAACTAAGGAATAACTTTGTTCAAGTATACAAAAGAATATTATGATAGAGGACACAGACTAATTGTTCTGAGCCTCTGTAGGGGACAAAAAAGGGAAATGAACTTAAATTTAATTATGAATGTTGAACTAGATATAAGAACTAGCTGCTATAAGGATGATTAAATGCCTCTACAAGTCAGCAGAACAGCGTGCAGAATTAAAATATGTTTTAAATTATGATAATAATAGCTAATGTTTAAGTGCTTTCTGTGTGCCAGATACTCCACTAAGTGCTTTTCCCTGTGTTATTTAATTCTGAAAACAACTCGGCCAGATGCTCTATCTCTTCATATACCCATGTTCACATCAGCAGGCAGGTGTGGAGAGGCGAAATGCCCAGAGTTACGCGGCTGGGTGACGGAGCAGACCCAGGGGGTGTGTGCCCATACTCTCAACCACTGCACTCTGAGCGTGTCAGATACTTTTCAACTGCAGCCAAAGAGCTAGAACAAGTGACTTAATAGCTTTCATCTGTGAATAATAAGATACTAAAGTTGAGAGTTATTTTTTCTTCCTATTCTCTTTAAGAGGTTGTGAGATGTTACTATTATCAAACTAATGGTAATTTTTTTTTCTTTAAGCCTCTCTATGGCTTACTTCAAGCAAAACTTCAACTCATTACACATGCGTATTTTGAAGAGAAGGATTTTTCCCAAATTTCCATTCTAAAGGTAACTTTATATTCCTCTATAGATGTGTTTGGCCACAAAGAAGACAGATTTGTGAGTCAAGTAGATCTCAGTAATATTGTGATAAAAGATAGTCATTTATTAACTTAAGAAAGACATTCTTCTTTGAAATAACATTGGAGGCCAGAGATCTGCCTAAAATGTACGGTTCATACTTATTGCATTTAACCAAACTGTCATTTATTAGAAAATAATGACTACAAATGCCTATAATTACTACAAATGTTTCTATTAATAGATATGGCCCTTTTGCAATGGCATCGCTTCTCTAAATTTGCTTATCTTCTTAATATACTGCACAGTATGTTTATGTATCAAGTTTCTGGTCCTAACCCCCATAGCAGAAAAAAACAGAAAAACTACATGACTATTTTACTGAAGATGGATAACATGCTTTCTCAGGGTTCCATGAATGTATAGAACGTGAATCTCCCCTGGATTCTAGTGAGGGTAGGACAGTTAGCTATTTAGCCAAGAAGTAGAGGGAATTTATCCTAGGAATCCATACCACCATGTGAGTACATCAAGATCTACAACGTAGAGGAAGAGCTGGAGGGAGTGCTGGCAGCTGGCAGGGTTCCAGAGAGACCTTGATAGTTTCTAAATTTAGGGCCTGGCAAAACAAACCGTCTCAATTAAAGAACCATTTTTTTCCTGATCATCATATCTCTAATTCAGTGTGTAAAATGATAGTTAAATGTCTAAACTGATTCTGTATTTTATAGGAGCTTTATGAACACATGAATAGTTCCTTGGGAGGAACTTCTTTAGAAGGATCCCAAGTATATCTTGGTAAGTAGCCTTTTTACAAGTCAGAAGTACCTTCATTCCTTGTTGTTTGGCACACTGAATTACATGTAAAACTTCACGATCAGAATTACATTTCTATATAGGATCTAAATCCTTCAACGTTCGATGCTGCTGCTGCTGCTTTAAATATCTTCTTAGACAGTATTTATTTCTATTGACAAAGATGATAACCTACTTGTGCCAGTATTCACAACTATTATGTGAGGCACATTTCTTCTTTTCAGAATAGTAATCGAAGTCTTTTGCTTTTCCTTACATTAGTGCTGACCAGGCTAATTTCTTGTCATAATAGAATGGGGGGAGCAAGAGAGAGAGATCTGCTTAGCTCTTTTTATGCTAAGATTTTATCAAGTTGGGAGTTTTGTTGAATTTATACTATTTGACAACCCAGAATATATATTGGTGTCCAAGGTACTCAGTAGGCACTCAGTAAATAACTTTTTCATGATTAAAAAAAATTTTTAATCACGTAGTGATTTATACTCAATAAGTAGCCAAACTGGTAGTTGACTTTTGCAATCCTGTGTGCAGTGTAAGCCGGTTACAAACCTCCTATTCTGAGGACATATTTTCTCTAAATTATCTTCTCTTGTCCATGGCAAATAGTCAGAGAAGACTGCGATTCAGGAATACCATCCTATGGAGTGCAGTGACTGAAAACCATGTTTAAATGATTGACTGCCACTGGAGTATAATTTTCATAATTCTAAGCTTGTATAATTTGTAAAATGTTTGTAGAATGAGGAGAAGGTGTTAGAGCTGCACTGTCCACAACAGTAGCCACTAGTCACCTGTGCTCTTTACATTTAGATTAGAATTAATAAAAATTAAATAAAATTGAAAAGTCCATCTGTCAGTCACACTTGCCACATTTCAAGTGCTCGTTGACCACATGTGGCTACTGGATCGGACAGTGCAGGTTTAGACACTTTCATCATTGCAGAAAGTTCTGCTAGACAGTGCTATGTTTAACTATTAATAGTAACTTGATAAATTCCAAGTACATCAAATACTAATAAATGTTTTAATATTTGCATATTCCATATTCCCACATTTTTTTTTATTGCCTTTCCTTTGAGAGTAGAAAACCTTTGTTTGCCAAAAACAGTAGGTTGTAGTTATAGATTAACTTTTTTGTTAACATTGTAGGTCTGTCTCCTCGAGATCTTGTGCTTCATTTTCGACACAAGGTATGATACCTTATTTAATTTATGATCTACTAAAATTGTGTTCATTTAACTGGGCAAATTCCATGTGCTACGCAGTCAAGTGCGGATTGTGGCATAACCATGTCTTAGTTCTTCTAAGACATCTCTCAATGATACAGTCAAAAGTGTCGGTAGTGCTTGTGTGATAGAAATTTCTAAAATGCCACCTGTTTATTTTTATGCAGGACAGAATACTTTTTTCTATTGTCTTTGTAATTTCGGAGACCGTGAAATTAGAGTGGAAAGAAACATGTTGTAATCTTGCAGAATGTTTTATATGTTGCCCTGAGATGGAAAAACTTTCCAGCGAAATATCTATATTTATGCCTTCTGACCTTTATTACTAAAGCATATCTTGGCATATACACATTGATCATTCATTTAATGAGCATTTACTGAATATCTGCTGTGCAAATGCTCTGGACATATTCAGAAATAAATGAATAGCTCCTGCCCCTTTAAAGGAGCTTTCACTATGTCAGGCTAAAATGGCACAACTCCTCCAGAAAGCACATTTTAGAGATTTGAGTGGTTCTCACGTTTTCTAGAGGACACATAATATTTCTCAGTATAAGTTCATAATTTTCAGTGTATTTTTTAAGCACTTATTTATTGATTAAATGATATATGGTTATGTTCGAAGAGGAAAAAAGGCAAATAAATGAATAATAGGCTTGTGTTTCTTGTTTTAATATAACATTTATTTATTTTTTTCATTAGGTCTTAATTCTGTTTAAACTAATTCTTCTCGAAAAAAAGGTGAGATTTGAAGGAATGGACTATTTCACATTTATTGACATTCTTTAAATACTATATAAAACTAAAACTAATGGTAAAGTATAAATTAACTTTTTTGACTATCAAAATGTTGTGAACTGAAGTCCATGTTTTTGTTCACTATTATAGAAGTATAAATTCATGCAATCTTGGGGAAAGTTTGACAGCATTCAGTTATCAGAATGGTGTTTGGTTGGGTTTTTTTGTTTTGTTTGTTTGTTTTTTTAATTTTAAAAGAGTTTATTTGAGCCAAACTGATGCTAGACATATGCCAGGAGCAAAATTTCACATGCTCTCCAGAATGATTTTGACTGCCGGTAACAGAAAACCCAGTTTAAACTGTTTTAAATAACAAAGTAATATAGTGGCTTCTTTCAGACTTCAGGGCTGGTTGACTGAATGGTTCAACAGTGTAATTAAGTACCTAGATTTTTCCCATCTCTTTGCTCTACAATTCACAGTGCTAGTTTTTTCCTAAGCCTGGCTTCCCTCTTGGTATCGGATAACTGTCAAGAGTAATCGGGTTATATACTTCCTCAGTTATACCTAGTGGCAGAAGCGAGAACTCTTTCCAGACTATTTAGTAAGAACCCTTCCTTTCAGTTTGTTCGGGGCCTCTGAGGCCATCTGCTTACCCTGAAGCAGTAACTGTTCCCAGAGTGATTGGCTTCTACTTGGGTTCCAGACCACTCTCTACTACAAAGGGTGGGATTGCCATGATTTTAGACCAGATTTGTATCAAGGATTTTAGATCAAGGTTTGCAAACTAAGCCCCAGGGCCAAATCTGGCCCACCAAGCTATTTTTATAAATAAAATTTTATTGGAACACAGTTACACACATTCGAACACTTTTGTAGATAGCTGCTTTTGCACTGCGGTGGCAGAGTTGAGTAGTGCTCGAGAGACCATATGGCCAGCAGAGGAAAAGCTCTTCCTATCTGACCCTTTATAGGAGAAGTTTGCTGACCTCTGGTTTAGACTAATCAAGAGGCTTCCCTGTATCTGGGACCAGCCATTTTTATATCCCATATTACTGTGCTCAGTGGAGTAGGGTGGGACGAATGTTGGAAAGTCAGCCATTCACAATATCCAGTATGGTTCATGACCTTAAAATTTTTATTCCTTTTGCCCGATAATTCTCCTCTTAGATAAGAGTTTTATCCCAGAATTAATTTGAGTTGGACGCAAAGCACTGTCTAAGATTAATCACAGAATCATTTTTAAGAATGAATTTTCAGTGAATAAGTAATGGTTTATATTGTATACTGTATATAATTCCAAACAACAGATTCTGTGATTTTTAATTGTTGTAAAGATGTTTTATGTCATATTAAGTAAAAAAGTTTGTCCAACTACATATCAAGCCATGATCCCAATTTCATAAATAAATGTGTATTTTTTGAAAAGAGACTAGAAGGAAAGACATCAATAGTTTGGTGAGAAATAGGTTATATTTTTAAGAAGGAGATACTTCTCTGTGTTCTAGTTTCTGTAATGACTATGTATTCCTTCTAACAGAAAAAAAAATAATAAAAGAATGAATCTAACATATACTAGTGCAATGTTTAACCTTTTAAAAAATATTTTAGTGTTGTAAAATACACAAACATAATTCACCATCTTAACCATTTTTAAGTGTGCAGTTCAGTGGTAATAAGCGCCTTGTTGTGCTGTCATCACCATCCACAGAACTTTTCACTCTGTAAAACCGAAACTCTGTACCCATTAAACGATAACTCCCTGGTCTTCCCCCGCCATCCCCTGGCAACTGTTCTTTTACTTCCTGTCTTTACGACTAGTTTCCTCATACAAGTGGAATCATACCATACTTGACTTTTTGTGACCGGCTTATTTCACTTAGCATAATGTCCTAAAGGTTCATCCACATACAACATGTGTCAGAATTTACTTCCTTTTGAAGGCTGAATTATGTTTCATTATTTGTACGTACCACATTTTTTTAATCCATGCATTCATCTATGGACACTTGTGTTGCTGTCATGAATAATGCTTCTATGAACATGGGTGTACACATATCTCTTCAAGACCCTGCTTTCAGTTCTTTTGGATAGAAACCCAGAAGTAAGATCGCTGGATCATATGGTAGTTCTATTTTAAGTTTTTCGAAGAACTATTATACTGTTTATAATGGCTGCACCGTTTTACATTCCCACCAGCAATGCACAAGGGTTCCAGTTTCTCCACTTCCTAATCAACACTTGCCATTTTCTAGTTTTTGATAGTAGCCATCCTACAGGTGAGGCAGTGTCTCCTGGTTCGATTTGTGTTTCCTAATGATGAATAACACTGACATCATTTCATGTGCTTGTTGGCCATTTGTATATCTTTCTTAGAGAAATGTCTGTTCAGGTCCTTTGCTTATTTGTTAATCAGGTTGTTTGTTTTTTTGTTGTTGAGTTGTAGGTTTCAAACTTTTTTATTGCAACCCATAATAAAAAATGTTTTACATTGCAATATAGAGCAACGTATCTGAAACAAAAGCTCTGCAAAATAATGCTTTAGCCTAGACACATGCAGTGGCATTTATGAACAAGTAAACTTTATGTAATGTGGCAAATCAATCAGGGGTACATTCTTTGAATGTTGATTTGATAAAGACATCTTTTAACGCAACACTTGGTTTCTATACATGGGTGCTGTGCTGTCAAACAGCAGTTTAGTGTCCCTAAATGATTTGTTAAAAAAGGAAAGACATCTCACCTAAGCAAATCTCATGCTTGTTTTTTCAACTAATGTGATTATTACCCATGTTAGTTTTAGTGTCATATCTAACTGAATCCTGTTTCTGATTTTTTTTGCAATTGTTATTTATGAAAAATGTCAAACATAGAAAAGTTGATAGAATAATATAAGGAACATTTTCACATCCTTAATCTATATTTACCAGTTAACACTTTACCACTTTTGCATTACATTGCTTTAGACTGTTTATTTTTCCCCTTGAATCATAATTTTAAAGCAATTTGTAAATATCATAATACTTTATACCTGAATACTTTAGGATATATTTCTTAAGTATAAGGATATGTGTCTACATAACCTAAACAGCATTTTCACACTCAAGAAATTTAACATTGATACAATGAATGATTTCTAATGTATATAGTCCATTTAAAAATTTCCCCGGATGTCATAATGATGTCCTATAAGTCAGTTGTTGTTTTGTTTTTTTTCAGTCTGGAGACCAAGGATCATGTATTGCATTGTTAGCTTTCTTTAATGCCAAACAGTTCTACCACCTCACTTTTTTTTTTTTTTTTTTTTTAAGAATACAGACTAGTTGCATTATAAGATTAGATTTGTCCTATTGTTTTCTTGTGGCTGGCTTTAGGTTAAACTTTTTTGGCAAGAATGCTGTAGAGGTGTTGGTGTGTCCTCAGGCATCGCATCAGGAGGCCCATAATTGTTTGATCATTTGATTAATGTAGTGGTTGCCAACTTTCTTCATATTAAAATACTTGTTTTGCCCTTTGCAATTAATAGGTAATCTGCAGGATGATAAATTTGCATCTGTGTGAATATTCTGTTGCCCAGCAACCTTTCACAATAGTTTTAGCATCCGTTGGTATTTTTACCTGAATCTGGGTGGATGCTTGGTGATTTTCTAATCCTCTCATTAAATCTGTACCTATTAGCTGTTATTCTTCTATAAAGAAAAGTTTCTTTCTCCTCTTTTTTTCTTTTTTAAGTATCACATGGTCTCAGGTTTTCTAATTTGATTTTGATGGACTCTCTTTTAGGTTCTCTTTTATATTTCTCCAGTGAATAAATTGGTGGGTGCCCTGATGACTGTGTTATCCCTTTTTCCAGGTGAGCGAGTAGCAGTATCTACTGTTTCTTTTGTTTGACTAGTACTGGAACTTCTCAATAAAAAAAGCGTTTTCAAGGATAAACTCATTAGGGTTAACATTTCTGTTTTAATATGACATTTTCATTTTGACAATAGTTTTTTTTATCTGAGATTTTCTTTTTTTTTTATTAGAATGTGTACAAGCATAACTTATTAAAATTTTTATTGGAGAGTTCTATTTAGAAGGGAAGCTACAACTCTTATTTGCTTCCACCTCGTTAGAAGCCAAGCTGTTCTCCAATGTTTTATGTTTTAGGCATGATCGAACATGGTCTCAGTGACTGTTCCCAGTACAGACCCCGAAAGAGTATGTCTGAAGATGCTGGACTTCATGAAAGTAATCCCCCTGCAGATGATTTTGCTTCTGTGTCTGCTCCTAACATTTCAAACACCAACTCGGAAACTGTCAAGAAATTTATGACACGAAACCACGGAGGAGATGTGGCCATCAAGACTGAAGAACCTTTGTTCCAAGTAGAAGCTGACAGCAGCAAAGGACAGGAACTCAGTGATACCAATCAATATTTGAAACCTCCTTCTCGTCCATCTCCAGAGTCTTCAGAAAGTGACTGGGAGACCTTGGATCCTAGTATCTTAGAGGACCCCACCTTGAAGGAAACGGAACAAGTGGGGTCAGAACAGACAAACTCTTTTCCAAAGGAGTCAGTGCCCTCAGACAGCCCTCCGATTACTGTACAGCCTCAAGCTAATACGGGCCAGGTGGTCCTCATACCAGGGCTGATTTCCGGTTTGGAAGAGGACCAGTATGGCATGCCTCTAGCCATCTTCACAAAGGTAAAGTGTAATGTCCTTTATTGAGCCCCTAAAGAATCCGACAGAATCCTTTTAGAATTTAACCGTTAGTGTTGAGCACATTTTCAGGTCTGAAAATTTTCCTTGAAAACTAAAATACATACCAAATGTATCATGCTGTGGTGTCTGTGCCCATAGTGTAAGGCTCTAGGGTTACACTAATTCACAGAGTTTTCACTGGAAAAGTTTGGAAGCTTAGTAGATACCAGCCATCACTACATTGGGTCTGTTTTTAATCATTCAGGTTTATTTTTGAAAAAGGATGAATTGAGAAACGCCAGATAGTCTTAATTTCACTTAATGAATATATAAAAATACTACAATTCCAAAAGCTACAAATTTATGAGGAAAAAAATGCTTAGATGGATAACTGAAATATTATGCCTTATAACGTGGAATAGAGTGCTTTGGTTAACTTTCCCTAAAATTGTTTTAATCTTTTTATGAAAACCCATTCAAAATGTATTTGTAAATTTTTAAAATAAATTAAAACACAACATAGTAAATTAATTTGAATCTTTAATTCGGGGTCTTATATCCCAGGATATCATTCGTTAATGTCAGTAATACATTATGATTATAGAAGCTACGTTATTTGGATTTTTTTTTTTCATCCTATTCAGGAAACACTACTTATTTTATTGCCATTCTTGAATTATTTTTCAAAATGGAGCAGAAAAATAGAAATTCCATTTCATTCCTTAGTCAACGAGTATTTCTTGTCTTTATTTGTGCCAGGCACCGTCCTAGGCTCTAAATTCTTGCGTTCGTGATTTTGCATTCCACCATGAAAGACAGGTACATCTTTCCAAGAGCTAGAGCAAAGTCTTATGTTTTTCTCTAAATAACGTCTTTTATGCATGAAGTAAAACTTTATAGGGAAAAGGAAGATGGGGAGTATAGACTGGACCGTGTCTTTCTTCTTCCACCATACTCTACGATTAATTCTTTCTGGGTTTATCCAGCTTTGCAAATAAGTACTTGCTCCAAGTTAGTATCGCCACGTAATTAACAGAGAATGCTGTCTTTGATCCCTTCGTGGCCTGTTGGGGGACTCTGAATTATCCTAATCGGTTACACGATTGAACCCAAGCACAATTTCTGAAAACTGGGATTTAGGAACCTGGGGAAAGAACTCAGAGTTCTCAAAAGACCAGGTATAGTCAGTAGCCATGAATTGTGGGTTTTCCAAAGTCACATGTGGGTGTCATGACTACCTATACTTTTTGGGGCCCTTACTTTGCTGTCCCCCCTGGACTTCCCCACCTCTAATTGTTATCATTGTGGGGTTATCATTGTGGAGTTATCGAGAGAGAGATTAACTGGGGAGGGATTTTGTTTTTGTCAGTGAGGTTGCTGAATTAAAGCATTGTAAACATACATTTGGTGCTGTCAATAAACCATGTTGACTGAATATTCTATTTGTGCTCATTATACCAGTACTAAATATATGACTGGCTTACCACCATCGTGATGGTAAATAAAACGTTTTTCTGTATGTTTTATTATGTACTGATTAAAATCTAATTTGTTGTTTAATCACATTTTCAAATACACATGTCGATTCTTTCATGTTGGTAACTTCGGAATATGCAATATTCTTAAAAGTGAATAGTCTTCAGACTCTTTTTTTCTTGAAGATCTTAAAATGCTTGGGGATTAGGTTAGCAGACAGCTTGAAAAGTAATTTCAAAAATAGCCAGAGAGAAGCTTGGGTGCCTGGAGAATACTGCCGAAGTGGCACAGTGAGCCTTGAAGAGAATAATAAGCCGACTGGTCTCCTGACTCGGTATATGAATAAATGGACACAGACTTCTGCATGATAAAACAGTTATGTCCGGAAGAGTCTCCCTGTCTCTCCAGCTTTCCAGGCTCTCTGGTACTTGAAATTGCCTGAGGATGATGCCTTCATGTCAGTCTTAGAGGTTAGGCTTACTATGTAAATGCTCTCAGTAGCCGATTCTAAAACATGCTTGAGCCTTTGCAGGGAGCTGATTTAGGAAGTGTAAGGAAGAAGCTGGGGTGCTGAGGGAGAGGAGATTGGCTACTGTCGGGGTTTGTAAAGTGGTGGTGACAGTTTCCACTCCCACAACAGTGCATGGGGGTGCCCCCTTGCCCCACCTTCTCATTATACTTGCTGTTGTGAGACTTTTTAACATAATTTAGCCAATCCGATGGTATCTTGTAGCTTAGTTTGCATTTTTTCAGTAATCACTGTTGAGGTTGAGCGTCTTTTCCTATTCTTGTTAAGCATTTGGATTTCCCTTCGGAGTACTTGTTCAAAGCTTCTGGATTGTCTCCCTTGTCGTCAATGATTCGTCGGACTTCATATATTTCAGATATCTTTTCTGTTGATGGATCTTTTATCTTATGGGGACTGCTTTGGCGGTCTTAAATTTAAGAAACCCTCCCCTACGTCAAGGCCATAAAAAGTCTCCTAAATTATCTTTTAAGCTTTATAGTTTTGACTTTCACATTTTGGTTTTTACCTACCTGGAATTAATTTTTGCGTATGGTCATGTTACTGGATTTTAGTTGTTGCTCCGTGGGCGTGTCTGTCCCTGGGGCAGTCCCACACTGTCAGGCGGAAAAAATGCTTCCCCTCTTGTTACTGTTCTCAGGAGTTTTCAGCTCTTTGCATTTCCACATTAATTTTAGGATCGACTTAAGTTCCTAAGTTGCGATCACACGAGTTGAGATTTTGATAGGGATTACCTTTAAATTCTAGATCAGTTTTGGAGAGAACTGGCATCCCTATGATACGGAGGCTTTCAATCCATGAACATGCTCATCATCCCTGACCAGAGGCGAGATGAGAAAATGACATTTGGTCTTGATCATGTCGCAGCCCTTCCAAGTGGCAGAGAAGAAGGCACACAGTGTCTCCCAGATCTACCAAGCCGAGATGTGGGTTTTAATTGTGGCATAGAACAAAATCCACCCTTTTTAGTGCACGGTTTAGTGGTGTTAAGTTACGTGCACGTTGCTGTGCTCCAGATCTCCAGAAGTTTTTCATCGTGCAAAACCGAAACTGCAGACCCATGAAATGACAACCGCCATCCTCTTTTTACCCCAGCCCCTGGCAACCACTGTTCTTTCTATTTCTATGAATTTGACTACTTCAAGTAACTCATATAATGGAATCATACAGAATTTATCTTTTTGTAACTGGCCTAGTTAACATAATACCCTCAAGGTTCATCCATGTTGGAGCTTATGACAGGATTTCCTTCCTTTTTTAAGGCCGAATAATTGTCCATTGTATGTATCTACCACATTTCGTTTATCCACTCATCCTTCAATAGACATTCAGGTTGCTTCCAAATATGAGAGGTAAAGTACCCTACAAAAATGGAAAGTGGGGGGTGGGCTGGGTGTGAAGGGTACGAAAAGACCCACGCCCCTGCCGTCGCTGTATGTTAAGGACTTGTAAGGGATTTAGGCTAAACCGATCATCATTAAAAGCAATGATGGCAACATTTTAAAGCTATTTTGAACTACTATTGTAAATAATTTTATAAACATGTAATACTTTCATACGGTTCAATATTCAAAAGGTTCCAAAACGTCTGTGATAAAAAGTCTGCCTCTCATTCGTTCCCGTTACTCATTTGCCTTCTCCAGTGGCAGCCATCATTAGCGATGTCTTTTGTTTCCACCTGGGGGTATTTTATGCACAAATACATGCATAGATATGTTCTCCCTCCCTTTTCACACAAATAGTAGCAGACTAGACCTGTTTTTATGCCCCTTATTCTTTTTTACAAAATATCCCGTGGAGGTGAACTTTACTCTTTGACACAGCAGGGTGTTCCATTGTATAGATGAACGTTTATTCAGTTCCCTGTTCATGAATAATTAGGGTTTCCAGTCTTTTGCTATAATAAACAATGATGCACTAAATAACTTTTTACAAATCTCACACGTGATTTTTTAGGAATGCATTTTTTCATATTTTAAAAAAACTTTGAACTATTGATTTTTAAAAACATACTTCTGAGTTTTCACGATTTTATAGACTTAGCAAAGATTTCATTGTTGACAATAGACTTTCCCTCTCTAACAGTATCAGTGATGCATGTAGTACTATGAGCAATTAAATTCTTTTTTTTTACTAATTTGCAAAAGAAATCTTTTGTACAACTGGCAGGTTTCTCAATTCTGGGGTAGTAAGTTTTCTAGGGGCCACGTCAAGTTTGAAAGCACATTCAATATTGTAACATTTGTATTTAGAAACATGTAAGTGGGAAAAGGAGGTTTATTGTTTTTAAATTCATAGTACACAAAGCAAAGCAACCAGCTGTTTTGACTGAGTGATTCTGAATGAGTGAGGAGCAGGGGTCCTTCCAGCCGTTAGTCACAAAGGGCATGGGTCGAGACGTAGTATACTAAGTATCTCTAGTGCATAGATGGGGATTACGCTTTGCTGCTTCTCTTAGTGTTTTGTTGAGCAGAGGAAGACATGTTAAAATTAAGAATAAAACCAAATTGCTAGACCTGTATTCCAGCTTTTGAAAGTCTCTCCATAGTAAGTGTTTAAACAGCCACCTGTTAGGTACAAGGCACATCCGAGATGCAGTGAGGAACATGAAGTAGCAGAAGGGGTAATAGCACCTGCCCTCAGAGACTCATCTTGTGCTATAAAGAAGGCATCATCCAGATAACGGTAGTTCAGTGTTGTTTTAAAAAGTGATGGGAGATAATTAATTAATTTACTAATTAATGGAACTGACATAGAACTTGAAATTGAAAACAAGTTTGCGGGTTCAGCAAGTCTGCCCTCTTGGCTTCACACACAGATTGTGCCACTTTGTGGGAAATCTGTCTTGATTTAGAATCTTTTAGCAGAAATTCCATTTCCTCCTTCGGGGCATTCTGTGTATTTCACTGCCTGCTGAGGTTTGGCAATTCACCTCGTAATTTTTAGAGCAGTGGTGTTTTCAAATACAGTTCAAATGGAAATTAATTAAATACACTACTGCCAATGTCATTTTTGCCTTAAACATTTAGGCGGAGAGATCTTGAAATATTTTTGCATGATTTTTAACAAGGGGGCTCTAAAACAAATGCTATACAGTGCTTTGCAGTTCTCCTAATAGTACATCGGGGTTGTGTGTGCAGATCGCGTGCATGTTAAATTTTTACTGGAAGAACTAACAGCTTTATAATTAACAAAATGCTTTGTAATGAACTTAGTACTTAATTTTCTAAATGGAAAAAGTCCAGTTTGTTAGCTACCGTGGAGGCTTTTATGTTGAACAGAGAACACAGTGATCAAGTGAGACCACCTTCATGGTAGACCCCCTTGCTAAGACTGAACATTTGTGAAGAAGGTTAGTGATTGACTGACCGCATTCAACACCTGAGGTTCCCTTGAAATATTGTTGCAAATCAGTGATCAGCGGCATTAGGGATGGCGTGGAGATGGGAGAAATTTGGAGGTTTCTTTTCCGACTATTAGCTCTCTAGGCTTGAAATGAGAGGTGACTGTTCCATCACTTTTCTAATATTTTCTGTCACTTTCGTAATTCTTAGGGATATCTGTGTTTGCCTTATATGGCACTGCAGCAGCATCATCTTCTCTCTGATGTCACCGTTCGGGGATTTGTTGCTGGAGCTACTAACATCCTTTTTCGGCAACAGAAACACCTCAGTGATGCCATTGTGGAAGTAGGTTTATGTGTGAGTGTGTGTCCTTGACACTGCTGGTCTCTGTTTTTCTTTCTTAAATGGAATTACGAGGGCATGGTAATTACACTCATAACGGTAATCATCGCTTCCCATGCCAGGCATTCTAAGCGCCTCGAGCACATTAACTGATCTGATTTCTCGTAACAACCTGGATTGTTACCATTTCCCTTTCATGCTTGTGGCAGTGAAGGAACTGAGAAATCAAACAGCGAGTGTAGTGGGCGAGCCAGGACTTCAGCCCTGGCAAGCTGGTCCTACTAGGATGTTAACGATTCAAATGTGTTTATCATTTATATAATTTAAATCCTTCTAGCCTGTTTAATATGCCTCTGATATCAAGAAGAAGAAGCTAGAGATAAAATTAGACATTATCAATATATAAGAAATTTAAATTATTTATTCAACTTTACAGGTAAAGTAATTTTTTTAAAAAAGGGAAATTTAAGCCACCCTAAGGTTTTGGTACTTTCTGTTATAAAACCTGCTTTCTGGGACATGTTTGCAATATGTAAATGAAAAATCTGGGGTTCAGATCTGTATATATGATGATCCAAATTTTGAGGAAGAAAAAATATATACATACCTTCCAAGGCAGGCAGATACAGGTGAGAGGACCACGGAGTTGCTTCAATATGATTGGTCACGTTCTAGTTCTGAAGTTGCCAAGTTCATGGGTATTTGTTATGATTATGCTTCAATACTAATGCATAAGTTACATATATTTCTTAATACATCAAATATCATATGACAGAAATACTCCAAAGTATCTGTGCACTCAGAGGAAAAATGTTTAGGAATTATACTTATTAATTCATTTCTGGTTGTGTAATAAAGGTAATACTATACTTTTTAATATTTTCCGACATATTTACAGTCGACATGAATTCTATAATTCAAAAATATTTATGCATATATTTTCTAAAAAAAGAGCATTTTTACAAGATAGATAAAAATTTCAGTAGAAACACCTGTCTGTTTCTTAGACTCACCTTTTGAGTATGCTGTTATTCATATTTTTTATTTCCAGCTGCAACTTCCCAGTAGTTACTCTTTGAAGTGTGGCATGGGTATCTGCGTGAATGCCCACACTCTGACTTGTACCTGGGTGCCCTCTAGGTAGAAGAAGCCCTGATCCAGATTCATGACCCAGAACTCAGGAAGCTGCTTCACCCCACCACTGCAGACCTCAGGTTCGCAGATTATCTGGTGAAGCACGTGACTGAGAACCGCGATGACGTCTTCCTGGATGGCACGGGTTGGGAGGGAGGTGACGAGTGGATCCGAGCCCAGTTTGCAGTCTACATCCACGCGCTGCTGGCTGCCACGCTGCAGCTAGGTAAGGAGCACACAGGCACTTTCCATTTTGTAATGATTATGATGCTTTGAATTACATAAGAAATATATTGTCGTTTTAGAAAAATTACCTGTTACTCCATCATACAGAGGTAACTACCCTTAGCATTTTGAGTACTTATATTTTTCCAGATCTTTTTCTCTGCATATGTTTTAGACTTTAGTTTTGTGGTATTTGTGGTCGTTCTTTAACCAAAATGGATTTCAAACTAAACTGAGTTTTTCTTTATGATAGAAACATAAACATATATCAAGATATTTGTCATTTTTACATGGCTGTTTAGTGTTCCACCGTATGAAAGAATATATCAGTATTTGGGAACTGTTTACAAACAGTGCTTCCATGTTTTTAAGATACATAAAAGAAGAAAAAAGAACTATAAAAACATAGAAATCATTGGAAATCACATTCTGAGTGATTAAAGCTTCATATTTATATATCTACGTTTACCCGCTCCATTTTAATAGAAATATGATTCCTATTAAATGGTTAAAATGGAGCGGGTAAACGTAGAATCATCTTGTATTAAAACTATCTCATTCCCCAGAGGAGAAAATATCTAAGAAGGGAAAGTGACACTCTGCCGTGAGCTTTTGCACCAGGGACGCTTGTCACCCTGCACGTTTAGCAGAGATTCAGTAGATTTGTTGTTGCTGTTGTCGTTGTTAAGAGTCTTGAGCTTTTGTTTGTCCTTTGTTTCAGTGATCTCTATCACTGTTTTCGGTGGTGTTTTTTAATTGTGGCGAAATGCATATAACCTAAAATTTATCGTCTTCACCAGTGGCATTTAAGTACATTCACTTAAATGTTTTTCAACCCCACCACCGCCACCTCCCAACTTAGTTCTTCACAGAGTGTATGTATGTGGAGTAAGTACTGGCTTCAGACGTTTTTCATTTACAAAGGAAAGCTGCCGAGCAGGTTCTTATTTGTTGATGGGATGTTTTTAGATGTCTCTGCCTCTTTTACAAAGATACCAGCTACGACACCAAATTGAATCCTCTAACCCAGAGGCATGCAGTGATCTAGTAAGAAAACCCATTTCTGCTATGTTTTAGCTTTATGAGTAATTAATTTACTTTTTAAAAAGTATTTGCCCAGGTAGCTATAAGCACAGAATAATAGTAGCTAGCATTTTTGTGGCAGAGGGGCAAAGGTTTGCGAGGGGTGCGGGCGCATGTAAAATGTGCAGGAACCTATTTGGGGCCTTTACATCAACTAACCCATGTCATCCTCGCAACAATCCTGGAGGTAGACGCCTTGTCATCTTCATTTTACAGAAGAGAACATGCGTCACGGTAAGGTTAACTAGCTTGCTCATCCATCTGGTAAGAGACTGAGCTGGTATTTAAACCCAAGTTGTCTGGCTCAGGTCTATGCCATTAAAGAAAATTCAGCCCAATGAACTGTTCGAGGAATATGTTTGTAGGAGAACTTCCTTATGCCACATGTGGAACCACGCATATCCTTCTGTTCCTTTCCCAGCAATGGAAGTCATGTTTCACCTTCAAAGCAAGCAGCTCGCAATGTTAACCAAACGGTAACATTGGTTAATATAATTGTATAATTTTCAGGTGTACATTATAGTTTGACATCTATATATTCTATTGTGTGATTATCACCCAAAGTCCATTTTCCTTCAGCTACCATATATTTGATCCCCTTCACCCACTTCACCCTCCTCCTACTCCCCTATATTTGACCCCCTTTACCCCGTCTACCTCTCCCCTCCTCCTCTACCCCCTACCCTCTGGTAACCACTAGTCCATTGTCCATGTCCTTGAGTCTCTGTTTGTCCTGTTCATTTGTTGCTTTTAGGTTTCTATCCCACATATAAGTGATATCATGTGATTTTCAACTTTTTCTGTCTGGCTTATTTTGCTTAGCATGATTATCTCGAGGTCCATCCATGTTGTCACAAATGGCAGTGTTTCATCTCTTCTTATGGCTGAGTAATAGTCTATTGTACATATATATATATGCCACAGCTTCTTTAGCTAATCATCTATCATAGGACGCTTCGGTTGCTTCCATGTCCTGGCCACTGTGAATAATGCCGCTATGAACATTGTTGTGCAAAAATCTTTTTGGATATGGGTTTTCAAGTTTTTGGGGTAAATACCCAGTAGAGGGATGGCTGGATCATATGGTAGATCAATTCTTATTTTTTTTGAGGAACCTCCATACTGTTTTCCATAGTGGCTGTACCAATTTGCAGTCCCACCAGCAGTGTGTGAGGGTTCCTTTTTCTCCACATCCTCTCCAACATTTGTTATTACTTGTCCTGTTGATTATGGCTATTCTAACAGATGTGAGATGGTATCTCATTGTGGTTTTGATTTGCATTTCCCTAATAACTAGCGATGTTGAGCATCTTTTCATATGTTGGCCATTTGTCTGTCCTCTAGAGAGAAGTGTCTGTTCAGGTCCTAGCCCATTTTTTGATTGGATCGTTTGGGTTTTTTTGTTGTTATTGAATCATTTTGAGTTCTTTGTATATTTTAGATATTAGGCCCTTATCGGAGGCATTGCTGGCATTCCTATTGAGATGATTGTCTCTTTACCTTGTTGATGATTTCTTTTGCTGAGCAGAAGCTTTTTAGTTTGATGTAGTCCAGCAGCTCACAATTAAAATATGGAGCAACAGCCATTGGAATCAGTTCTCCAAACCTTTTCTATTTTTCCAAGTAGAAGAAATGCTCTGTATTAAAGCTTCCCCGTGGTATTCATAAAGTAGAAAAGTTTTCAACATTAACTGTGAAAATCCCCTTGTTATTTTGAGTATTTTGACAGTAAAATGCTTAGAAACTGAGTTTCACCAAACAGTAAGGCAAAGTCCAAAGAGAAAATAGTGCCTAAAAGAATGGATTCATATTTTCATTCTAATCTTTTTCTGTAGAAAATATGACATTTGCGAAAAGGTAGAAAGATACCCCATTGCCGCCTCCATATGTAAATATCAGTACATTTACTCACTGTCCAGCTGTTACTTTGTTTAATAAACAATACCATGCTAACCTTGGTAAGGAGAACATACACATATTTTGAAATTGTAAGGAACCGTAGACAATATCTGGCTCAACCCTCTTCTTTTCCAGTTAGGAAAATGAAGTTCTGAGTGATTAAATGACTCACCAAAGGCCACATAGCTTCTTTACAGGATGTCTGGAATTAGATCCATGTTTCTTGACATCTGTAGGCTATCTCCCCAAAAAAGCAGGAAGGCAGAGGAGGTAAAACTGTTGCTTTACCCTTTTTGGTTGTTAGTCTTCACATCCCTGACTGGCTACAGTCCAGCTCAACTTTCAAATATTTTCTTGACAGATAACGAGAAGATGTTATCGGACTATGGGACGACCTTTGTTACAGCGTGGAAGAGCACTCACAACTACAGGGTCTGGAACAGCAACAAGCATCCGGCACTTGCAGAAATAAATCCCAAGTAAGCACATCCTCCGAAGACGGATAGAACATGAACTGGTTGGTTTACTAATGTGCCCCAGTAAAACCATAACTTTAGTGATATTGTGAAGATCTTCAAGAATCTCCTTAAATAGATTAGAAAAGGCCCCCAAATACAGAGAAGTAGCTGAAGACTTCATACCTGTTCACACTGCACAAAAAGCACAAAGCATTTTCAGAAGCACCGACATTTCTCCCAGCTCGGGGTGTGAGGAGGAAGCGCTGGCCGTCGCTGGTGCTCAGAACGGGGTGACTCTCCTCTCCCTTTTCCTGGGCCTGCACCTCAGCAGGTCAGTCCAACAAAATAGAAGTCTCGAAGGAAATACCACTGATTAAAACTGAGAGGTTGTTTTACAATGTGAAGTATAAAAAACTAAAGTTGATATTTGAACTCCTAGATATCTGGTCAAACCTAGCTCCCATGTCAGATTCGAAAACTCAGCAAAATTTAATGCCTGTCACGGTATTGAATGTCAGCTGGACAAAGACTCTGTCACACGCAGGCGTAAAGGCATTTGACAATGTCGTGGAATGGGGCCATCAAGAACAAGACCATCTGGGTGTGACAGGGAACAGTAGAGTCTAAGGAGATCAGCCAACACAGCGCATACATCCTGGGAACTTACTGTTTCTAATTTAAAAGTTTAAAATGATATGTTGTTTTTTTTTATCATACAAGCATACACTAAATGTTCTCGTTCGCATTTTAAACTTTTACTTCGTGGTGAGAATGAGGCAAATATCAACTTTGTACTGACTACCATATTATTTGGAAGCTAAGGTTAATGTAGCTAGACTGGGGATGTGATTTCAGTGATGCTAGAAAGGATACTCCCCCTTTCCCGCCCCCCTAAAATATCCAGATGTTTATGTCATAGTAACTTGAGGGAGCATCTGCAAGGATGAGGTAGTATAGCAGAGTTTTAGAGAGTATGTCTGTTAAACTTTATATCATCTATCAAGAAAAATGACTAGGTTCAGGACCAATTTTGGTGAATTTAATCATCATATTGGGCTATAGCAGAAACCTGTGTTGCCATATGAATGTGGTAACAACAGAATTAAAAGGCAAAGATGTTTTAATAGTATTAAATGAAAGGGCTAAGAGTTCAAAGTATTCTCCCTCACTAACCACAAGGTCTGTATTCTAAAGCATGATGAAGAGAAACAGATGTGAGTTGGCTTGCCTGGTGGCACTCTCTGTGGCAGTGCTGGGGTGGAGGCAGGGTGCCATGACCGTCCACAGCGCAGCATTCAGGGACGTCCAGTCTCCTCCACTCTGTGCACTGATAACCTGGTCACATCTTTACCCAGTTGCTGCATCCACTGTAGTGACTTTAACTCTGTAGAACCAGCTCTACGGATTTTAATGCAGGTCCATAAGAGGCTTAGCTGGAATGGGTTTTAAAGGATTGTGAAACAGTACTTTTTTAAATGTGTAAAGAAATTGAGCTTACTTAGATTGAAGAGAAAGCTTAAGAGATATATAGACCTGAAAAATATAGGTAGGGAAATTATGCAAGTAGGATAGTGAGCAGATTTTCAATATTTTCTCCAAATTCAAAACAAGAAATGATAGTCTTTATTTGTTATCAGGGGATATAATTTAGAAATATTCCAAACTAATTGTAAGATTTGAGATCTGTGAAACCCTTTCTTCAACTCTTAAAGATCAGAGAAGGCAGTCCTCCGACTTCTCTTAATAAGCAACAGGTATATTTCATCCTTTAAGCAGAGCCTTTCCAGGAATACCGAGAATGATTGATCTTTTAATTTTTCAACCTGTGATTCAGAAATCCAGAAAAAGAGAGACGTTGTTAATATGCTTCATATGGCCAAAAGAGAAATTTGTTGCCATGTGAAAAGCCATAAATAGTATTTTGATGTTTTTGTAAGTTGCTGTTGATTCCACTAGGGGCACTTTCTTTGTTTGACACTGACAGGCCCCTGGGTATGAGATAGGAATTAGGATGTTTATTGACTCCTTTTATAGTGTAATTCTGGTTTAGTTACCTGATTTTTACATATATATGTATGTAAAAATATATATATTTACATATATATATGAAGAAACAAATTATAAGTATTTTTAAAGATACAAAGGTGACCATCAAGGAAAATAATTTAAACAATTAATATGATGTGCTGTGAAAGGACAGAAAGAGCAATATACCAAATGTCACTGCAGATAATTGATATATATATATATATATATGTAAAAATCAGGTAACTAAACCAGAATTTCTCCCTTTTGTATATTTTAATACCTGCATTTTGAGTTGCTTTTCTAATAGAAAATTGAGGTTTCACCAGTCTGTCTACAAATCTTTGTATGACCAATGGCATACGATGATAAGATGACCAGAATCAAGGTACAATCCATGGTCATTGCCTAAGTCAGTGACTCAAACCCAGACTGTCCTGGGGAGATTTTCTAAAATGTTGATGCTTAGACCCCACCCCTGACCAAATAAATAAGAGCATCACACCCCCCGCCCACGAAAAAAAGCACCTTTTTCACAAGTGAAGAAATAAGCTCAGAGAGGCTCCCATCACTTGAGCAGTCGAAGCCCCACTGACCAGATGTTCGGAGCACTGTGGCCCAGTGAGGTTACTGATAAATCAGCCCTTGTGGTAACTCTGTTGCTCAGCGTTATTGCTGGGGCACTCAGAGTCTAACTGGAATTTTGTTTTACAGCCATCCTTTTCAAGGCCAGTACTCAGTGTCCGACGTGAAGTTAAGGTTCTCACAGTGAGTATTTCGAGAAAATACTAGGAAAATTCTTACGTCTGAATTTATGCCATGTGTTCCATCGCTAATTGGGAATTGTTTTCCTCCACTTGATAGACTTGTGCTTTGAATAGTAACCAGATATGTGCGTAACAGTCTCTAGCTCAGCAGTGTGTACGTTTCAAAGTGAAAACACTGCTGTTTCATGAAGAATGGTGTGAACTAATAATAGGATTTGCCATTTTTGTTTTGGTGAAGTCACTTTAGCAAATCATGACTAGGGGGAATTAACCATATGTGTACGTTCCTTCTGTCCTTCCCACTTGGTATTGTCTGAAGAGACACATGCCTAAAAGATTAATAAATTAATTGATGCATAACAAATAATGAATAATTTAGCTGTTCAGTAATTCTGATTTGGGGGATGGTTATAGAGCAGTGTGTATATGAGAGAGATTTTTTTTCTAATTGTACTTAACACTTCTTTCCTTTACACAGTTCCGTTCAAAACAGTGAACGTGGCAAAAAACTTGGAAACGTCATGGTCACAACCAGCCGGAATGTTGTACAAACAGGAAAAGCTGTTGGTAAGGCCTTTAGCCAGAAACAGATCGGAATCATAACACACATCTCTCTGTCCTCAATATGTCATTGATAAAAACATAAAGTTATAGAGATCTGTGTATCCCATGATAATACAAGAATAGTCCCGTGGTTGAATAGAGATTTGTTTGTTGTTGTCATTGTTTTAATTTTTGTCTTATTCATTAAAAAAATTGTTGTGGCACCAGATAATAGCAAACAAAGTTCAGCAAATTTTGCCACGTCTGATGGAGAGTGACAAAATCTTCTGATGAGTTCACTGTTCTGTTACCAGGATTTGAGCTTTCCTGGAGTTTTCCCCCCATTGCCTGAGCTGCCCACAGTTCTTTATAAATGGTAGAGAGTGATGATAAACTTGGCGTTAGGAACTGTTGTCTTCTAAGGTGGTATCACACAGTAAAGAAAATCAGTGAAACCAGTAGTTGGTTTTTTTAAAAGATCAACAAAATTAATAAAACATTTATAGGCTAATGAAGAGAAAAAGAGAGAAGGTATAAATTACCAGTATTGGGAATAAAAGAGAGGATATCACCACAGATCTTACAGAAATTAGAAGGATAAGGGAATACTGTAAATAAATTTATGCCAGTTTCTTACCAACTTAGATGAAATATACAAATTCTTTGAAAGACTCAAATTGCCAAAACCGACTCAGTACAAAATAGAAAATCTTAATAGGCTTACATGTATTAAATAAATTGAATTAAAAAATTAAAAACCTTGCCGTAGGTTTTTAATTGAATCCAGGCCCAGATGGCTTTACTTATAAATTTAAAGATTTTCTATATTAACTTTTTATATAATTTCAAATTTCAAGAAATGATGTAACAATACACAAGGAACTCCTGATCATCTCAGATTCACCAATTACTCACATTTGCCACATTCCCTTTGCCATACCAATATGTAAAAACAGGACCCGTCTCCTTACTTAGCTCCTGAGAGAGGTTGACTAACCCCCACTGAACAGTTCAGAAGTCCCAGACCTGGGTAATCTCTGTGCAGGGTCCTCGTAGCTCTAACATGTGGGTAATTAGAGATGGACAGCATGAGAAAACCACTCTACAGACTCGTCTTAGAAGACAAAGATGAAACACATAGCCTGTTGCGAGGTTCTTTTATTACAAAGGAATGGAATTTGATATATAAGCGTTTGCTTCCATAGAATATCATGCATTTGACTTATTTTTAATTCTTATTTTTAAGTAAGAAAAGTTCTTCATTATAGATGTTAGTTGTTACTTAATTTTTAGCAGTGCCACTGCCAATATTTAAATTATAAGGTCAGTTCTCTTCTACGCTCCGCTCTCCCAAAATAGAGAGCATGTGAGACTTCCAGCTCTCCAGGTGATTGTGACGCACAGCCAGTGCTGAGAACCGCCGGCCTAGCAAAGAGTTCGCTGCATACCTTCAGGATGCTTAGGCGCCAGTGGGCACTTACGCCCAGAAATTGTCCGATTTCCTATTAGACATTCCTGTGGAAAGGGGTTGTTTTGAAATTAGAAATTTAAATGGCAGTTTAGTAAACTATTGACATATTGGTATAACATTTATTAATTCGCATTGGTCTTTCACTGTCTCTGAACGAAAGTGAAGGCGTTTTTCCTCTTGTGTTCCCCTCCCTCTCCCCTCCATCCAGGCCAGTCCGTCGGAGGAGCTCTTTCCAGCGCAAGGACAGCAATGTCTTCGTGGCTTTCCACTTTCACCACTCCCGGCCCGCAGAGTCTCACTGAGCCACCCGATGGGAAGCCCTGAGCAAGGTGTCCAGGGGCCACCGTTGCGCTCTTCGGTTTAAGTGTTCCCTGTCTGTCTGCTGCTCCCAGACTGTTCCTCTTCGTTGGCCAGGCCCACAGCAGGGGACCGATATGTCGAACTGTTTACATGGACAATTGCCCTCTGTCTAAATGAATGTCACAGGATGCTGGAAAGATGAAATCACAACCATAGCAGGGATGGCCTCCCAGGTTGGGGTTTGAATTGACTACTTTTATTTCAGTCTGAGCCTGATTAAAACACGCAGTGTACCTTCTAATAATTTTTGAATTCTGATAGTATACATCTGTTTACTTTAGAAAAGTTTTTACTTATGTAAATTTTGTTCTGTTTAGCTGTTCGAATATCTAGATGATCACTGAAATTTATTTGTGCTAAAATTAAGTTATATTACTATTTTAGTTTCTCTAAAGTTGGCCCTAAAATGTGCTTATAAAGTTAAGGGGCCATCCGATCCAACCTTTTGTTATTATTTTGCTGAGTTATATGATGATTTTTGTTTGCTGGTTTTCTACCTGCAAAACTATCAATTCACTTCCTCCCAGAAATGTGGAAGTCATGGGTGGTAGTTCTGAGGATAGAGTGTTTCGTCTCATGTTTAATTTATTCTTTCCCAATCCTAAGCGCTTGTTTTGAGGCATCGAAGGACACCGTCGTGCTTTTTCTTCCTCTTCCTAACTGTTCAAATAGGTTTGCAGAGAAATGGCATAGTGGCGGTTGTAGCGATGTTGGAGCAGTTCACACGAGCACATGTTTAGGGCAGACTTTAAAAGACCTTGGTTTTCTGTCAACTCTAGTCCTATTGCAGTCTTTTACAAGCATTTTTTAACCCACAGTTTGTGCCTTCTATTTCTTCTTTTGAACAGTTTTCCATTGGGTGTTTACAGACCTTACAGGTTTTTTCTTAGTCTAATTCTTCATAAAACTTTTCAAGGCGCCTGGGTTTCCTACTTCCCTGACTGAAAATCCTCCTGTAATCAATCCCTTCTAAAAGTATTTTTTAAAGAAAAGCAAGATGATCTGTAAATATTAAATAGAAATTTCATCTTAGGTCACATTTAGAAAAGCAAGAGGCAGAAGAAAACTACAGCCATGACATCAGTCAGGTTTCATAAAGGACATCTGGTTTCATTTTAGACACACGCACATGTGTGCAATCTACTGGAGATTTTTATACAGCTGGACCTCATGTATCTGCCATGCTCAGCTCTCATTTGCTTTTCATGGGGACATTAGATGGGCATTCTCAGGGAGTACTTACAGGGTAAGACTGCTTCAGTAACAAAAGATAGTCGGAAAGTACATAGTGAGTATAATCTGCACAAGACATAAAGAGTATTGGGAAAGTAAGGGCCCTAATTAAGGATGACACTTGATTAGATTTGATTTATCCCTTAAGAAATGTTTATGGAAAGTAAATCCTTCTAGGGTATGTGAAATGGTCAGAGGAACATAATCTAAATCTCCCTAAATTTTCTAATTTGTGTCTTAACACGAGTCCAGCAAATCTAAAAACATACTTCCATTTGAGCATAATAACGCAAGAATTCAGTGATGATAAACTAAAGGGCTTATTGTGAGAACTCCATTCATCCCACTTCTGCTAGGAAAGTGAACCTTCTCAGGAACTATTTCTCGAGGAGCAGTCATGCCAGGCACTCTGCGAGTAAAGAACTCATTCTAACACATTACTGTTTCATGAGGCCACATCGCTAGCTGGAGTGATGGTGCATCGGCGAGCAGGCGTCACCCCTCAGTGCCAGAAGTGCACGGGCTGAGAGCCCCGTGAGAGGCGGGCCAGCCGTCGGGGCTGCGCTGGGCGAGCTCGCCTCTCGCCATCCCCCAGCTGCCCAGGCTGCACTGGGAGTCTCGCTCGAGTAAAAGTGGTTACACGACATCTCACTCTGCTCTAGGACCGCTTGTCCCCATGTTAACAGAAACCTTAACTGAACTTTCTAGTAGAGCTTCCAATTAAGAGTTCAACTCTTAAAGCAGTCAGTTAACTGGCTTTCAACACAGAATGAATATTTCAGAAGATAGCACTTTTGTCATAGAAAAGGTCAGAAGACTGTAACTTTCCTTCAGGTTCTGGGAGGCACAGGAGTTCTCAGGGCGGAGGCTGCGACGCTGCTGGCAGGGGCCCCTGGCAGCCAGCTGTTGAGGGCAGGAAGCCTGGCCCCTCGTCCTGTGAGCCCGTGTGCTTCGGGCTTGGGGTCCAGCCCTTCGGTCACTGGTGAGTTGTAGGAGCCAACAGTGGGCCATCTTCGGCCTTGTTGCCGGCAAAGGTGTGTTTTGGTTGGCCATGCTCACTCTAGTGCTTTTGCATCTAAGCATTGTGTATTTGTAAGTAGGTCTGAGGGAGCGAGGGTCAGCCAGGCCTTTTCAAGGTGTGGCAGCCACACAGCCTGCATCTATAGCCCGCTGGTGGTCTCACTGTTTGTCTAGGTGACTTAAAAATAGTGTTTAGGAAAAGCCCCTGGCATACTTTACTTCCTACTAGGCGCTGTAATGACAATGGCATAGGTGAGGAAAAGAGTTAAAGCTGTGTTCTGGACCAGGTGACTAGAAGAAGTTGCAGGTTAGAGTCATTTTGCAGATGCATTTGGTTCATTTAACCAGTATGACTAGTATATTTCCAAACCCATTAGTGATTTGAGTCCCCCAGCCTTAAAACAGTTCCCATCTACTTTTGCTTTAAGAAACATAGCAATCCCCTTGAGCAGCGAGCCAGAGCGTATGACGTGATTTCCTCGCCCTTACCTTGCTGTCTGTTCTCTACTAAACGTTGGAATTTTTGTGGAATAACTGAGTTTGGAAAGGGAAGGAGAAAGCAAGTTAGGAAAGCAGAGAAGTGAGAAGTTGTCGCGAGGCTGAGGAGCAAGGTACTTAAAAACCTGAATGAAAGTATTTTGAGAGCAGTATTTAATATGCTAAAGGTAGGAAGAATTTCTTTACAAAGAAGTTAGAATTTTATTCTGCTAGTTAGTTACAAGTTTAAAATGAAGGTAAAACGCCCTCTTCCTGGCAGGCAGGTTTTGTTTTTATTTTGTCTTTTGTGGAAGTGACAGCCAGCGGTCCTTTCCCTCCAGGCCTGGCGATGAGTTTGGGGGTGCTCAGCCCTGTAAGGGGCCAGTAAGTAGACCGATCCCCAGCCACATGAACTTGTATCTGCTTCAGCAGTTTGGGAAAGTAGCCTGTTAGAATGGTAGCTGCTGAACGTTGCCTGTTATTTTGGGGGGATTTGGTCGAGACTCCTGAAATGTCATCGACGTTTGCATGCTCTGATTCCTTGGCCGGAGGTGGCACAGTAGTCATGGCCTTTCCACCCGGTTCTGTGGTGGCCTTTCAAAATGACAGGGAACGCAGCTCTGGTTTCTAGAAGATGGTCGTCATTCCATGGAGTACAATGTGCCATTAGGAGTTTTCTCATTCCAAGGCTTTGGACTTCATAACATTGGGATTGTTTTTGTCATAATTTCCAACATTCCATAAATATTTGTCAAGGACAAAGGAAAGGAATGTGGACCTTTATTCTTTTCATATAAATAACTTTGTACACGTGACTTCCTGCTTTCACATGAAGAGGAAGAATCTAGCTCCCTCGTATCCTAACTCTGACATTATAAGATTGTGCACGTATAAGGGGTTGAATATATTTTGTAAAACTCTAATGCATTTGTATTTCTGTGCTGTCCTAAAGTTTACCTTTTTACTTAATTAAAGATATAGAAACTATATATTTAAATCATGTAAATGGGACACAATTTAGGGGTTTTTCCGATCTTATTTTCCATCAGCTTCTCACACACACACATAGTATGCTGCTCAAATTTGTGTGCAATATAAACATTTGAACATTTCAGTCAGGTACTGAGCCAGAAAAAGTAATTGAAGTTTTTAGAAAGCTTCTGTGCTTAGAAAATACTTGATTTTCTTGAAACATTAATAATTTATAACGGGAAAGATAGGATCAAGACTTATGTTTCAGGACACTTGTTCATTGGTTCCTAAATTTAGGAAGCATTTGATTAACAAGTTGGTAAAAGAATTTAGTGGTTACAAAAATAGTTTAAATATTTGAGATAAAAGGCTTTCCGCGAACCCTTTCTCGGGAAGTTTAGCTTAGAAATATTAGAAGTTTTCTAAGGAAGTTTATCTGTGGCACATGTTTTGATCAGAAAGGTAATTTCTCTTTGCTCTGGTAGTTTTATGATTTGTACTAGTTGTTTCTGTTGTCATTTGTTTAAAAAGAATGTGAAATGGATAAATCACGTCTAATCGAACTGAATTGTAAAACTTCTGTAACTTTATTTTAAAGAAAAATGAGAATAAAATGATCCCGCGCACAGTTGTGCTTGACCCATTCTTCTGGAAGCGCCCTCCACACTGTCTGTCGTCTGCGGGGTTGGAGCCTGCTGCGCAGTGGGACAGCTGTGCCAGCTTCGAAGGAAGCAGCACGCTGAATGAAGCAGAGGACTCCTGCTGATTTAATCTCTCATTTTGATGTTGCTTGTGATGGCACCTCAGTTTTTAAGGGGGTGACCCCCGCAGGAAGAATCCCTTGGTTTCTAGGGAATGCTAAGTGCATGGGGCCACACAGTGGGAGTTGGTTGTGCGATAATACCTCATCGCATGCTCACTGACAGACCCCCGGGGGAATAAGAGGACATTGTCACGAGCAGGCCATTTTTCCACCCAGACTGGTAAGCTTCAAAATAGCCCTTGACTTCCTTGACTCCTGGCATATTTTCATTCATATCTATGTCTCTGTGCACTGAGATTTTCTCACAGCTGTTCTACGAACCAGGAGCTTTGGGATGTGCCTCACAGAAGAAATGGGCAAATTTCTTTGTCCCCTGAGGTGGCGTGCTTCTGAGTGCAGGGTTCATTTGAGGTGCCGGTGTTCTCTGACTGGGACGGTTAACCCCAGAGCTGATGATGAGGCGGCTGGGAGTCCCAGAGCCCAGCTCCACGGGCCTCACCCCTGTTTTCTGGGGCCTGCTATTGGTTATTCAGCACTAAGTTCTCACTCTTCCCGGGTAACATGTCTGAGTCCCATCTCTTCCTGGCTTTGCTCCATCGTTTCCCAGGGTATTTTGCCTGACCCTTCACTGTTTCCCTATTTCCAGTCAACTCTACCTTCTTTGCCCAGATTCATCTTAAAACATTAAAATTTGTCCTTATTTTTAATTTTCACTTCACTCACACTACACAGTAACCCTCAGCATCTACGACTGTCCACAGGATTAAATCCAGATTCCTAAATCAGGCCCTCCGGTGCCACCACGCCGTAACCTGCACCCTGTTGGCTTCTCTGCTGACGCCTTGGACTCCATGGGTCCCTGGCCACCGGAAACCTTTGCTGTGGCTGTTGCTTTCCCTGCCTCTGGTTGTTGGAGAAGCATTATGGAGAGAACCCGAAGAATCGCCAATGGAAGACCAGCTCCAGCCTCTTCCCGAAGGTCTCCCCCACGGCTGCCTTGAGTCCTTTCTGAAACCCTCGGCCTCAGCCCTTACTGAGCACTGCATGAATAGGCACTTCCCAGCCTTCGAGATTTACAATCTGTAAAACTTTTGAGAACGGAGATGGGCAACTTAAGTGTAAAAATCACATAAAGAGCAAGAAATGTATACATTGAAATAAATATAAAGTAGCAATTCATGCAGCCAGGACCTGGAGAATGAGCGGGATAGTGCCAGCACCTTAAAAACCTCACGCCTTGTGTCTCTCCCAAATCATAACTCCTCCTCCAGAATTATTTGGTACTCTGACTTGAGATCATCATTTCTTTGTAATTTTACCTCCTTCCTCCTTCGTTTGTATTCCAAAAGCAGTTTATTTTTTGTCTGTCTTTGAACTCGTATAAATGGAATCACACCATTTGTATTATGTCTTTTCTGGTTTGTCTTGGTTTTTAGGCTATCATTCTTTTCACCCCTGTCTTACTGTCCCCATTGTACACTCTGCCATCGTTTATCCAGCCTGCCGCAGGCAGACACAGGCTGTTTCTACTTTGGGGCTAATGTGAACGGCAGTGCTGCCTCGATCATGCTGGAGGAGGTGACAGGAATGTACAATGCGGGGTCACAGGAATATGTACATCTTCGGCCTTTATAGTTAATGCTAACTTCTTTTTCAAAGTGATGCTACCTTTTTACTTCCCAGCAGCATGGCATCAGAATGTCATTGTTCCCACATTGTCTCCAATGCTTTGGTATCACCAGGAATTTGAATTTTTGCTGATTTGGTGTGCGTGAAATAGTATCTCACTATGGGTTTTAATTTGCATTTCCCTGAGTACCAATAAGGTTGAGTGTTTTTTCATTTATTTATTGACCATTTAGATTTTCTACTTTTACAAAATGCCCATCCAAGTCTTTTACTCATTTTTCTATTATATTCTACATACTTTTCATTAATTATGTGTTACAAATATCTCATTCTGTGACTTTATTCTTTATGACGTCTTTTGATAAATGGTTCTTAATGTAGTCAAATTTATCTTTCCTCTTATGATTAGGTGAAATATCTTCTTGCGTCTTATTTAAGAAACCCTCTGTACCTCCAAGTCATGAAGATATTTTCTGTCATTTCCTAGAAGTTTTTTAGTTTGACTTTCACATTTAGGACTTTATCTACCTGGAATTGTTTTTTTAGAATGGTGTGGAGTAGGGGTCAAAGTTCTCTACCCCCACCCCCAACATAGTTAGAACGTTTTGATATTTCTCATTTAGCCAAGAAAGGAGTCTTTTTTAAACTACATTCTCTTATTCACTTCACACAATGACATTTTAATATCAAAACATGGGCAGAGTATAGGGTCAGAGTAAAGAAGAACCCTTTAAATCAAATAACTGAATTGTACTAGTTCAATTTGTCCTTATTTTTCCCATTTTGTTACAGGTCCTGTGCAAAGCATTGCCTCAGCACCAGTTTATGGAGATGGATGAAGGAACCTTATATTTTCACTCTGAAGAGCTGATGTTCCCCAAGTCTAACAATCACATATGTGTCCAGTGTCTCAAGAACTGTCCTGGACAGCCACAAACCCTCAGGACTTTCAACACTACACCAGAAACTCACACTGTCTTCCAGAGACCCAAGATTTGCATGTCTTTGGCTACTTGTGCTGGGAAGTCACTCTTAAGACTAAAGCAAGTCCCTCACACTACCTTTTAAGCCCCGCCTTCTCCTCATCAAGTATTCAAGTGCCTATATGTACACACAGTACATGCCATATACGCAGTTCCTAGAGCTTGCTGTTCCACAGGGGAGATGGACAATTACCACAGAAGGTAAGGAGGGCCGGGTCAAGGGTAAGGCGGGGTGAGTTCGGTCACATCACGGTGGCTAACTTCTTTTTGAGAGGGACAAGTAGGTGTCTCTTCCCCTGAGAGCCTAAGTTCACTTAAACTCACTGAAGTTTAAGTGATAGTTTTCGGGGTGAGGTAGAGGTGGAGAAAGAGGTCATAAAATTTGATGGTCTCTGGGACCTAGGAGAACAGAATAGGCAAAGACTTGGAAGCAGCACATGTTCTTTGGTGTGGCTAGCACCTAAATGATGAGGGATGGGCAAAAGATGAGGCTGGGAAACGAGGCCAGGTCAGGACGGGGAGAGCCCCGTCAGCCTGGCCAGGGGGTGTGGACTTGATCTAAAAGGTCAGAGAAACCCTCGAAGGGCTTCCCCACGGGCAGGTTGGGTGCAGAATTTGAAAAGCTCGTTATGGACATGGCACCCTTGCATTTGTCTTGCCCTGAGCTATGCAGTCAATGATGTTTCTCTGAACTCCACAGCCGCCCCTTCCCTTTCCTCAATGGCCCAGTCTCCCAGCTTTCCACTGACTTTAAATCACCTTTGTTCCAATCCATAGACCCAAGAACAAAACTGGGCCCTCAGTCAAAAAGCATATGTTTTCTTTTGATCTGGACAGAGCTTAGGTTAGTGGGGCTTGTCAATGAAAAGCGACTAGAAAGTAATTTGGGGCAATACAGTGCCTTGGAGGACACGTTAGCATCTAAATTACTTTGTCAGAGTGGAGAACCCAGGAGACAGGTGCCATCGGGGGCTGTGTCGATGTGTTTAAACGTGGGGAGAACTCACTTTTTCTTCGTGTAGTTTACAGGCAGGAAGGGAGTAATTTGTATATCGAAGATGGCCATCTGCAGTTAACATCTGGATTTTCACTTATATTCGATCCAACCCATGGAGTTTCTTCTGATACACTTTGCCAGACAAATCGTATGCTAACTTTGGGGAATGGCTAGGTCCAAGTAGGCCAAAGGAGAATTTTAAAAGTAGCCTTTCCATCTGCCCCCTCCTGGCTTTATGTGCCCTAGAAAACACTCAGCAGCACTTCCCAGAAACCACAGAGACAGAAGTGAAACTACACCGTCCTCCGTGAGGCCACCCTGAATCACTTCTTTGTACAAGATCATCCACCAGACACCGAAGCCTCCGTGCCCGATCTTCACTCCCCCAAATGCCTTCAGAATGGAAATTCCCAGGTAAAGTCTTAACAGATGAAGACGAATGAGAATTTTTTTTATCACCTACTTTATGGTCATTTAAAAGCACCAGGCCGGTGGGCCTGGAATCTTTAAATCTCACCTATTTTACGACCTTTAAAGTGTGTTTTTTTAATGAGTAATGGTCCCCTCATTTTGAGACTCGAAGTGAATGCCATTAATTCCACTCCTTGGCATCTGGGATTAATGACGCCTTAGAAGTTTTCTTTTGGGGACTTGCTGGAAACGAAGGGTACTAGTCACTCCTCCTCCGGGTGGAAAAAGTGTTACTTTAAGTTATCGAGTTAAATCCTGTGACGATGCTCCCTCGAAGAGCAGGCTGTTTCCAAAGCTTCTAACACAATTCCTAACACGGAACGGGGGTTCTTATGTGGGTAATGTTTACACGAGCTGTGTCTCAACTCACAGGTTCCTGCACATCCGAGCCAGAGTACACATGAAAGCGTCGTATAAAGGTGCTAGAGAACTGAAATGCTCTGCAACAGACAAGAAAAGAGTGTCACCTCACAATCCGACAGCTAAAAACAGAGCTCGCCTCAGCTACAGCCCCAGCCCCAGGATGGAAGTACACCTTTACTCAGTCACGAAGCTGCTTATGTGGGTGAGGTACTCTCTGAGGTCCAGAAGACAAGAAACCTGGTCAGAAATTTGATATAAAGCGATGAGTGTCTTGAGAGGTCCAGTGAAGTGCCATGGCAGTCCTTTCAGCTGGAACAATCAGACAAGGCTTCCAGGAGGAGGTGGCATTTGTGATGCTCCTTGAGTGAAGATGGTAAAATTTGGAAGAGGCAGAATAGATAAGAGCAGATTTTGAACCCACTGTAGGGGGCCTCATGCCTGCGATGCAGGAGAGGAATACAGAGTGAGTGAACCTCTAGGAAGTGGTAGGGGAGCGATGCTAGAGAACTGAGGAGGAAAGCAGACTCGGGGGAACTGGTTTTGTAATGAACTGTGAGGACAGGGAGCCTGGCACACCACAGGCACTTGACGAATGTCGCGATGGGAACGAAACCCTCCTTTCTAACGCAAGGCTCTGTGCCTACGGCTTTCCAAGAAGCACGATGGAACGGACATACGGAAACAGTAACAGAAAGCAGTGCTTTCAACTATTTGTTTTACAGAATGCAGGGTGAAGCTGCAAAAGGATGTTTAGCACCACGAAAAGTAGGCCAAGGGTAAGAAAAACTCCCCATACCCAAGAGAATTCAGCTGACCAAATTAAGTCTGATCCAGAATAAACAGTTCTCATCTGGAGATCTGGCAGTTCAGAAAGTTCTGTCCAAGGGCAAAAAGGAGGCTCAGGATGCTGATCTGCATAACTACGTAAGCCTTTAGGAAACAGGGAAGAGCTGCTGCGGTGCCGTGCGTGAGGACACTCCAATGAGAGAAAATAACAGTTCTCAGGCCTCAAGAGAAACTAGGCTCCCATGCCCTTTCCATGAACTTGACCAACCTCAGTCAGTTTTCCCCATGCTCACCCAGCATTCAAGGCCTAAAACAAGGTTTCCATTATCAAATCCCTCCAATAGAAATAACTTTCAGAATCATGTGAGCACTGGAGCTCATGTGAAGGGAAACAAGTTTAGCTATTACAAATAAGTCAAGACCTTTCATACTTATCTAAGACACAGGTTTTCCCACACAGTTATAAAATAATAAAATAGTAAGGCAAAGGATATTGCCAAGAGTGGCAGAAGTGTTAACAGGTCTAAGACAGATGGAGAGTTAAGTGAAAAAAAAGGTGACTAATGAAACTTCTAATGAGAATGGAGAATTTCATATATGGGGTTTGAGTATCTCAAACTCTCCAAGGCCCTTTGCCTATACCTGATTATTCCCTTCTTTAATTCCATCCCCCACACTTCCACCCTTGACCTATGGATGTGGCCATTTCCCCTTAAGAACTGGATCTCTTAAGGCAGGGCGTCCCCTCCCACACGCTCGCGGTGTGCACTGGGGCCTGACACCGCAACCCCCCCACTCCCCCTGGAGCCTTGACACCCGCCCCTGGGGCATGGTCCATGGCTCCACCTGGGGGTGTGAATCTAGGACTTTCTGTGTGTAAAGCAGACGTGTTAACCATTACACTATGGAGCCACCCCACATTCAACACTTATATCATCAACTATGCTACACTATAGGGATATGCAACCCTACACAAGAAAGTTCCTACTCTCAAAAACATCAACACTTTATACATAAAGATACTCAACAGAATGACCTACAAACAGGTCAAGTACAAGGTACTGAGGATGTGAGAAGGGAGTCTTCACAGGGTAAGTAGTTATCAGGGAAGCACTTAAAAACTACCTTAAACACATCTTGGATAATAGCCACAGGCCGAGTTGGGATGAAAAAAACCATTCTGAGTTTAAAGCAAACAGTCTAGGTAAAGGCAGAAAAGTATAACAAAAACCTGATTAAAGTTTGTGGGAAAACAACGTAATCTAAAGCCAAATTACAAGGGAGCCTTAAATGTGCTAAGAATTTGGACTTCATTAAGTAGACAGTGGGCCACCCCACATTCAACACTTATATCATCAACTATGCTACACTATAGGGATATGCAACCCTACACAAGAAAGTTCCTACTCTCAAAAACATCAACACTTTATACATAAAGATACTCAACAGAATGACCTACAAACAGGTCAAGTACAAGGTACTGAGGATGTGAGAAGGGAGTCTTCACAGGGTAAGTAGTTATCAGGGAAGCACTTAAAAACTACCTTAAACACATCTTGGATAATAGCCACAGGCCGAGTTGGGATGAAAAAAACCATTCTGAGTTTAAAGCAAACAGTCTAGGTAAAGGCAGAAAAGTATAACAAAAACCTGATTAAAGTTTGTGGGAAAACAACGTAATCTAAAGCCAAATTACAAGGGAGCCTTAAATGTGCTAAGAATTTGGACTTCATTAAGTAGACAGTGGGAAGTAGATGAAGTCTGTACACATGATCAAGGATGTGTTCTAGGAAGACTGGTGGTCCAGAAGCTAATCCACGTACAGACATTCCACGTTTTATTGCACTTCGCAGATGTTCCAGTTTTTATAAACCGAAGGTAACCCCTTCCACTAGCAGGAAGATTGGCTCCCTTTACTGCAGTGGCCTGGAACCAAACCCGCAGTCTCTCTGAGGTACGGCTGTATCAAAGGCCTAAACTAATGGTTCTCAATGGGACTGCACAAGCCAATCACCTGTGTGCTTTGAAAGATCCTGTTCCTGGGTCCACCCATCAGATTGTGCTTTGTTTTGTCTGGGATGAGGCTCAGGCATCACCCCAAGCTTTTAAAAGCACCTCAGATGATTCCAATATACAACTAAGGTTGAATAACCTTGACTTTGATCTGTAGTTTATGTTGATACAGTAAGGCTCAAATCACACACACAAAAAAAGGAAAGCCACACGCACACGTGTATTTGTGTGTATATACATACACAGACCTCAAACAAAATTTTGAAGAAATCACAAATAGCAAGCTAAACTGACCCAGTAAAATTAAAAGCACACCATTACACCATTCCCATCACAAAAGGAAAACAAATATTGAATATATACAATTCGTTTATTTAATAAATTAATGTCATTCAAAATACAGTGCCAGAACATTATGCAGTTGAACATGCTAGTAATGTTTGTCATGAAGCACCTGTGCTCATGGTAGATGGACGGCGCCCCGCTCCTGCTAGTGGTTCCTGGGATTAATGCCAGAGCAGCACTGGCTAGCTGCTCTTCTGCACAGCTGGGGCAGAGAATTCCTGAACAGTTCACCTTCCTAATCCTACCCCCCACACACAACAGGTTAAAAAAAACACACCCTGACAGCTAATGGGTATCTATACACAATCACTCTACAGTAATGCTTGTTATTAAATTAAGATGTAATGACCTGGTTAACCCACTCTAAATCTTTAAGATGGAGAAATACAACAGCAGCAGGTAGTTAAATGCATGAGCCCATGTTAATGTAATACAGAAAGTGGAGGCATTTACTGATTAAAGCTCCACTCAGACCCGCACAACGAGGGACTAGCAATCCTTACTGCAAGCCCAGCAACTTAAGTCCACATCTGGTAAATGACCAGCTGATTGGAAGACCTGTATTCTAGACAAGTATAAGTTAGTGAAAAGAGAATACATGCACCTAATAGTATAGTTAGACTGATCCTGCAGTCACAGCTTTCCCTGTGCAACACCATAAAGTGGAAGATCTTCCTCGACTATAGTATAGGATTTAGACATTTCTATACCAACATGGACGTTAGTGTTAAGTGCAGATGAATTAATTACACTGAAAAAAAAAAAAAAACTGTATTCCAGGACTTCGGAACAGAAGCACAGGAATGAAATACATATACTAAAATAACCTCAGCACAATTTGTGATATACCACACTAGGAACAGGAAACTATTTTAATAAGTGAACTTTTTGAACTGTACATACACAGGGCTAACAATGTTAGATAATCCAGATTCTATGTTCTCGTGATACACATAAAAGTTTCTCAATTATTGGATAATCTATTTCATATTATGGAAGCATATCTTTCTGTAAGACTCACTGATATATATTATACTGATGCAAATATTAAGTAGGGCATAAAAATAAAATTTATCAAAGATAGATTTTTATGTACTCATATTTAGTCCTTTCATAGCCTCTCTTGTTTAGCAAAGAAAATGACAAAGCACAAATCAGGCGTGCAGTCCTTGAACTCCCAACTATACAGATGGTAGTGCAACCATGTCTCCGTCCAGTTCAAACTCCTCTGTCCCATCCGGTGAAAAGAGATAGGTTGGTGGTTTCCATGGAGATTCTTCAAGGCAGGACGGATAAAGTTTCCCCACAGTGCATCGAAAATCTCTCCCTAAGTCCCACAGTACACGTTCCGATATATGCTGCCGCAGAGACCACCGGTCAAGTTCCAGATCATACTGGTAGGTGACATATTTAGCTCTCTCATTTAAGTGGGTTTCTCGCATAAACACACACAGAGAATTTGAGATCACTACAGCTCTGACACAAGGGTCTGAGTACCTCTTGGCAGGGATGTTGGCTGCCATTTTCCACTCATTTTTATTCACATCATAAATTTCCACAGTTACCGAAGACCCATCTACAGGGCCAGACGGGAGTCTCACGCCAGAATTGGTGGCAATGTGCAACCCTCCAATATAGAAAATTTTATCACCGAAAGCTGCGGCTGAAGCAAAAGACCTGCTAGTCTGTCTCATGGCCATTTCTACCCACGAATCAGACCTTGGAAAGTAACAGTACATGAGGTTCAGTGTCATCACATAAATGCAGTCGTGAACCACCACTGCTGCGCTCCACTGCCAAGCGCAAGGCAAAGGGCTTACCATTGTCCACTCGTCCTTCTCGGTGTCATACCTCTCTACAGTCCTCCGGTTAAGTTCTCCACCTACGCTGTCTCCTCCGATTGCATAGATGTAGCCCTCACAGCAAACCAGAGACGGCTTTACGCGGACGAAAAGCATCGGGGTCTTTGGAAACCAGGTATTTTGCTGTGCATCAAACCAATAAAAGCAATTCACAGTTCTGAAGGCAGTCTGAAGTTTGCTGGTTTTACTGTGATTTGTTTTTGTGTTTTTCAAAGGAATCTGACCACCTGCTATATAGATATCATTATCAGGAGTCACAACGGTCCCCACTTTATGCAAATCAGCTGGTGGGCTGCAGAGCTTGTAAACTTTTTCTGCTTGGGGGCTGTAACAGACAGAAGAGTAAAGACTACAAGAATTTTCTGAAGATGCTTCAATGAAAATCATCATTTCCTCTTTCGTCATTCCAAGTCTCGGTTTGAAAAACTTGGGCATGGACTTATACAGACCTTGAACCACTACAGACTTATCATTGGGTGGCAGACCCTGAAACCAAGCTCTCTGCGTTACTTCTGAAAGTGCATCGATTCTGATTTGGCTGAGAACTGAAGACAAATACTGGGATCGTGATTCTGTGTTGTACTCTAGCCACAGCATAGCAGCTTCGCGGACTGTCTCCTCCTTTTCCACATTTAAATTGTCACTACTGAGAATGTCTACCAGTAGGTCATGTGACAGCTGCATGAACGCTTCCTGGTGATACACGGCAGTGAACTTGTGCTCCACCATTCTTTTAGCACTTTGTTTTAATTCCTCACAACTGAACAGGTCAGCAAAACTCAACAATCGCACACAATTCTCTGCATTTATTTTTTTAATTAAATATTCTCGACAACGCTGTAACACATCTTCTACCTAAAATGAAAAAACAAAAAAGGATAAAGGCAGGAAAGACATATTTTATTTTTGTGTAACACACAGATGTATTAATCAGATCCCAATACTGTAGTCTTTATTTTTTGACATGTATGTTTGGACTAAGAGATAATGTCTTCATAGTAATAAAATTAGAAGACTATGCATTGCTTTGCATTTCTTCTTCCTGTGCAGTGGCCTACTTAACTAACTGCCCTATTTACAAGGTATTAGTATAACATTAAATATGCTTTCAAAAAACTAAACGGACTTAAGGAAAAGGTAAGGAAATTCACTTATAAATTACACACTTTTCTAGGCTTTAAAAATATATAA